AACGGCCGTAACGAGCATCCGACGAGACGAAGAAGATGGCGTGTGGATCGTATCCACCAAGCACACAAAAACCGGCGAGGAAGAGGAGCGAGAGTATGACCGAGTCGTCATGGCGACGGGCGGCTTGAGCGTCATGAATATGCCCGAGATCAAGGGCATCGAAAAGTTCGCCGGAGACGCCATCCACTCCCGCGACTTCAAGGACCCGACAAGATACACCGGAAAGAACGTCTTGGTTGTCGGTCTGGGCTCGACTGGAGCCGATACCCTGAGTTTCTTGAAGCAGGCCGGCGCAAATAAGCTGTACCTCAGCAGCAGGAGTCGGTGTTCTCTGGTAAATGATTTACCGACGTCCTCTAGGACCATGCTTGAAAGAAGTTGCTGACAGGGTGCTGTATAGATCCCCAGAACAATTGGAGGGCGACCGTGGGACCATTACATGACCCGTCGTACGGACTCGATGATCCGACTCTGTATGCGGCTGTCTCCCAATGCTACGAATTACTTTGCCGGCAAAGCCATCGGTCTCGCACAAAGCTATGCCTTTCCAACCTTGAGGGCTCACCCCTGCTTCAGTGGCCCCGTCAGCGGCCCGCTCTATCGTACTCCATTTGTGTGCGATGAACTGCCTGGTCTATTAGACAGCGGCGACGTCAAGATTTATCCCGGCATCATGGGCGTTGCTGGTCCCCGAACCGTGGTGTTCAAGGACGGCAGCGAGATTACAGACGTTGATGCCATCATCTTTTGCTGTGGTTACTACCACGATCTGTCCCTCATCAAAGGCGAGGGCCATCCTGCCGATATTGAGTTCTCAATGGACTCATTTGAGGAGCTCAAAGGTACAAAGCATCACAACAAGGACAGTGAATATCAAAGGCTATACCACGGCATCCTATCAGAACGATATCCCGAGTCACTGGCAGTGCTGGGCAGTCTGACAACGCTGCGGCCTACGTTTGTTCTCTACGACCTCGCCACCATGGCACTCGCCAGCATGTGGTCGGGCAGCTATCCTCTCCCTTCGCCACGGGCAATGAAGAGAGAGATTGATTCTCATTATAATTTCATGGTGCGAGCCCTCGAACATGGCCCGATGGCATATCTTGGTCTCCGTATAGACATTCGAGGCACGTATACATGGCTCAATGCTGCGGCTGGAACCGGTGTCATTGAACGGCTCGAGGGTTGGGGCTGGGAAGCATGGAAATTTTGGTGGAAGAACAGGATGCTCTACAAGTTCATCATGGACGGGCCCAATGTCTCGGCAGTGTACAGGCTTTTTGACATGGGCAGAGGGAGAAAGCCGTGGGCCGGTGCTCGGGCAGCCATCGAAAAAGCCAACGAGGGGCGGGTCAAGAGGGTTGAGAAGGTGGAGGAGATTCAGGTGATCAAGATCGCCGAGGTAGCCAAGGCTGCTGAAGTGATCGAAGTGGTTGAAGTGGAGGAGGTGGAGGAAGTAGAGGAAGCACAAGAGGCGGAGGAGGCCGAGCAGGTCGAGGCCGAGTGGCCCGACTCGATCATCTGTGAAAATCGGCCGAGTGAAACGGAACTATAAAATCGGCGATTGCAAATATGGCACCAAGCAATGATGATCGGGGGACTGGGGTAACATCGATAAACCGCATAAGGAAAGGGGGACAAGGACAAAGATGCATCGGGGCCCGAGGACAGGACACTTGGATGAACAGCTCGCTCAAAGCGAATGAAATGATAATGACCTAGATAATGATAATGAGACACGAACACACTTACGAGCAAGGCCTTGCGCCAGTCGCCCTCGCACAAGCCGCTCTTGATGTCTTGTAGGTGCGGCCGACGGTCATGAGCATCGGACATTTTGGCTCTCATCGCCAGGACTGACCCGCACCCGATCTCTCTCGGATGAATCTGGCTCCTCTTACATGCACACCCACTTATCGTAAGGTGCTGCCCCCAACATCTTTTCTCTTCTGTGACTTTCTTCTTTTGCGGTGCGGCGCACGGCACATGAGGGTGTCTTAGTAGGACGGCAGCTACCCCCCATCCTGTCACACCGCCAAAAAGTGGTAATTTCAAGACATTAGGAGGGCGGCCCGGCATATGCAGCCTGCTTGTCTGTGATGGGATTGTGGGTTATGTTCTGCGCGGGTTGGATCTAAAGTTCCGGAGGCTGAGAGGGTGTGAATGCAAGAATCCTTGGCAGACAAGTTGCCTGAGTACTCTTCGTACCTGTACAAGCACTCAATAAGTGGCTTTCAACCCCTGCTGGACAGGGGAGAAGAAGCTATCCCGGGGCACGGAATGATGAGACGGGGCTGTCGGGCTTGACTACTGACGTCGGGCTTCAATCGACCTGGTTTGCAAGTTTCAGTTTGCTGGTCTGTTTGCTGTAGCATATTACTACCACCTGTATTAGCACCGTCAGGCGGCAAGGATGGGCCTAGAACTCAGCTAAACACGTCCGCCACCCAGCCGAGAACGCCAATGAACACGGATCGCTTCGAGACGAGGAGGCAGTAAGACTAGGCCACTTAGTCAAAGGTAGCGAGAGGAGCCGGTCGAGATGCTGCGGCTAGGGGCTGGAGCTTCGCCATCAGCTCGCTATCCCTTTCGTGAATGTGAGCACAGCTCTGGATACCGGGTTCTCGGTGCTGATCGTCGTCTGTGCCGCTCCTGGGTGTCGCACGTGGTGTAATTATTTAGAGACAATGATGTATGATGTTTCCATCTCCTAAAGCAAGCCACCGGATAGTGTGAAAAGCAGCAAAGCGAAGCTCCAATAGAACCGAGGCCGCGTCTTGCGATGCTGACTGCCTGGTCTCAAATGCTGGCCGTGTCTGATTTGCCGTACTTGTGCCCTGTCAATCGTCCGAGCCGTCGCCTTTGTCTCTCCTTTACTAGGCCGATGCCACCTAGGTAGTCTGTTGTTATAAATCTGTGTCTGGCACTTGAAATTGTCGTTTCGTTTCGATCACCTTTGTTGTCCATTAACCTTTTGATAGAATGCATCAGCAACATTCAAGCACAATGGATTCTTCAGCTCTCACTGAGACTGAGAAAAAGGTAAGTCTTCTCACAGATAATCTCATTCTTCACATCCACTTTTCAATGTGAAAGTCGCTGATAACAATAACTATAAGGTGTCGTTTGCTGATCAACCCAAGCAGGAAGAGAATCGTCTCACCGAAAGCGAGCTTCGACGCATGCTACCGGCTTCTTTCCGCAATGGACCGGCCTGGGTAGGTATACCACACAACCGAGTTCAACACTTCTTGAAAGATGATCTCAATATCGAGCGATTGGCGGAAGCCTCGACCTACTTCTCCATCCTTGGCAAGGCTAAGCCTCCGCAAGCTCTCCACCATCAGCAGGCTCTTGGCCTCGAGATCTTGGTAACCGAGAAGATGGATACACACCTGCTTTGGACTAAGGGCAAGATCTTCATCAAGCCATTCCCAAGGTATCTTCTCGACCCTGAGTTCTGGTCGGAACAGCTTGAGTGCCCTAAAGGATGTTCCTATGCTTCTGAGTTTCAGATGCTTCGGGCGGCAGGGCTTGTACGACGTCAAACGCGATTTTCGAAACGCAAGCCTTGCTCGCACAGCAAGCTCTGGAAGTGCGCGATGGGTTTCGTGTACTCGTATATAGCTCTTATTTCACACGAGAGTGACTTTCGCATTGCAAAAGCAAGCAAGCTGCTGCCTGATGACATGGAATTTGACGACTGGCAGGGGTTTGTTGAGCGGACACTCCGTAAGAACGGCAAAATCCATGGCCAAATCGACGAGCGATTCACGTATGGCGAGTTGAACATGGCGCGCCTCAACACGCTGCTCATGCTTCAGCAACCTCGTCGTTACTTGTTCCAAGATGATGGCAGCTATGGTTTCCTCCGGGACCACACTTCGCTGTTGTCGCCCGCGTCTGTTTACACGGGCGTCGTGTTGGCTTCAGTACGAGTCAGGCCTACCATTGCCAACTTCAAAAGAAACAGACCACTTACAATTGCACTGGTGATGTATGGCTCCATCATCCTCTTTTTTTCGCTGACCGATGTTATCCTTGATGCTGATGCTAGAACAGTTTGTTTGTTTCTTTCTGGGTCTTGTACTCGGTCTTGTCCATCACCGGGAAAGGGCTCCCGACGATTGCTGGTGAGCAGTGAATTGGGCACTGGTCAAAATTGAATTCTTTGAGAACGGGTCCTCCGGCGTGTGGAAAAGCGTGTCTATGGGATAATCAGGATGATCTCGTGCGGCTGAGATCATGACTATTACTTGGAATTTGTAATGATGAAAGATGCGTCTGGGCGTAGATGCATCAAGGTATAGACAGCTTTCGGTTCAGGTAATTTGCTGTTAGGAAACACAGCATTAACAGGCTCAATAAAAACGTGTGTTTTAATAGTAAAGTGTCAGTGACGTTCAGAGAGGAGGGTCTACCAGATGCGGTTTTTGCTGTAGCTTGGTCTCAGCTGACAGCGATCAATGGCTCTGTATTGGCGGATCCTCTGTGGTGACTGAATTTAATCGTAGCTGAATAAAAGTTTGAATTAGACAGATGTTAGCATTGCTCGAGTAGTTCACTTTGAAAGTTGAAAGTTGAATGTTGGAGGCTGAAGGTTGGGATTTCGCTGTGCGTGTGCTTTTAGTACATGGTCACACAGATGTGGCCCAGGAAGCAGGAACAAAGGGAACGAATGGGCAACAGACACGCGTCACTCGTGATACAAAAGGAAAATGAATTGATAAACGAACAAGAAGAAGAAAAATAAGAAAAATATAGTCGTGGTAGCGCACGCAATTAAATCGATTACAACGACAGCAGTATTAAAAAAAAGTCAGTCTCATTTAGTCTTACTACCCTTCCTAAAGCACTACCAAAACGCCCAAAACTACCAAATACTCATCATTAAATGAGCGCAACAAATCAATCTATTTAACTGCCTGTTCGCCTTGATTAAATCAATCCCAAATAGCAAGCCAAGACAAGTGACGGGCCGATGGTATAAAAGGTCGCCGGGGGGCTCGCTTTCGCAAATGTTTCGCGTCTAGCAATCCATTTCTGGGTAACTTAGTGGGTGCTCCTTTTGGTATTTGGGAGTGGAGAGTGTATCCTTCAAAGGCGAAACTTCGCCCTGTGGATAATTTCGAGAGTAGGGAACATACGCAAGGCAAGATAGGTGTTGAGGCCAATCGTCTTGAGAACAGTCTCGCAGGTGATGTCCTCGCTGGATGGATACCTGCACATGGACGTGTGATCGCCGTAGATGTTGAAATGCTTCTCCCAATATTCGGGTCTGGCATTTATCATGGTGTCTTCCTTTTCAACAAGCTTGAGAGAGGGAAAAGGTTAATCAATTAGTCGGCTTGCTCTTGAAAAAGGAGAGATGCTATGAGGAGATTAACATACGAGCTGCTTGCCACGGTACCAGTTAGTGCCATGGAAGTTGATAATCACGCGTCGACGGTAGAGACGGCCTCTGTTCTCCAGAGGTGCGATGCGTTCAACGTGCTCGTTGCATGCCTTGTCCAGCATGTCAAGGACTTCAGGAGGCGTGGGACGAACGGCAGCGTTGGCAATGTTTCTCACAGACTTGGCAACGTTGTGGTGAGGAGTGTTGAAAAAGACTAGCATGCGAGTGCACTGATCGATGATATGAATGGTGCCGGTCTTGTCCAAATGGGCCTTGGCCAATGCCTACGTTGAGCATTGCAAAATGCAACGTTAGCTGTCAACCCTTTTGAGTTGTTTCTACAAAGAAAGGGTCCTGGAACTAACCTCTTTGACGATAATCCCACCAATGTCGTGGCAGATGAAGACGATTGGTCGAGTAGGGTCGTCAAGTCGGTTCTCCATGAGAAGTCGAAGAAGCCGATCACAATGCTTGATGAATCGAGTGTCTTCGTCATTCACGGAGAGGCCGTCATTGTAGGAGAAGAGCATGACGCGACAACGCTTTTCAAAGCAGCTGGGAAGGATATCCCTGGGCCACATCTTGCCACAGTAGGACCAGGTGTCTCTGTGCACATAATAATTGGCCTCAATGTTGAGACCATGGATGACGACGATGCTAGAGATGGGCAAGGAAGAAAGAGAGAATTAGTAGCGGCGGCAGAAAGAGGGGATCGGAATGCAAATGGAATGCAATCATCTACGTACTCGACCTCTGTCCGTTGATACGGTACCACAAAGTTCGCATTTCGAGGAAACACGATTTCGAGATCGTATTGCTCCATGTGTTCTGAAAATATCATAGGCATGTTCAAAGCCTGCGCAGATGCTGCAAATCATCCAGAAAGATGAAAGAGCTTTAAGGGTGAAAAGAGAAAAGAGAGGAGACAAAGGAAGGGGGTGAAGAAGGAGAATAAATAGGAAGGAGCAGGAAAGAAAGAAAACACAATGGGAATTGCAGCAGCTGCTTTTTGATGCTTCCGTTTGCTACTGCGTTTGCAGCTGTTTCGTATTCGCGTTTGCAACTGCCTGGGTACCTAAAGGCTGGTAGTTGAGCTGTTATCGCTGATAGCTGCCTTATATCTGGCTCTGTTCAGGACAACATCGAGGTCGAGGGCTCCTTTTATGCACCCAAGCGATCGCCTCAGAGGGCTCTGTTGATGGTACAAGTATTCCCAGCCGGGGCTTCGAGGAATAACACGCCGGAGCACACGAATTTGCTGCTGTGTTCGAGAGCGAGTTACACGGGATACGTCGTTGACTGGGAGAATGGGTGGGGAAGGGGAGCACACAAAAGGAGAGGGGAAGAGAGCAAAAGGTTATTTCTGGTGCAAGTTCCCGCGCTGAAGCAGCTAGAAACAAAAAGAGAAAAGATTGAAAAGATGGTAGAGAGTAGCGAGGTTGCAAGTAGCAAACAAACTGATGTCTTATCCAGCTGCCGCGGGGATGATATGACAGCCAGAATTCACGGAGGAGGAGAGGCAATAAGACGCAGCCAGCCACTCAAACACAATAACCAGAGCAACATAATGGACAAGATGAACTACGCGGGGATACCTGCTGAAGCGCTGGAGGAAAATAGGATTGAGACGTAACTCTACCTCTGCGATATGTAGACGCATGTATCCAGATGCTGTGGCAGCACACCAAACGCGTGCCTGGATTTTTACAAGCCACCGGCAGATGGCTGCTACGTTTAATGCTGTGTACAGGTAGCTAAAAGACTGGCTTACAGCTTGTTGTCGTACCTATCCCCTAAAGCGAGGAGGGGGAAGAAGTATACTATTTCATCAACATGCGGTTGTTCATTCTACGGTGTTTTGCTACAGCTATTCTTGAATATCAGGCCGTCCATTGCCCATCTAGAGGCACGGAGAGAGATCCCAACAATTCAAGCAATGTCGGCACCTAAAGAAGGCCAGCCCAAAGCCTTTCTCTTTTTCTCCTCTTCCCTCTGTCCCCCCCCCCCTCTTCAAAAATGAACAAGGGGACGAAAAGTACAAGTCATCCAGACAGGTCATTGTGTTACACAGATTATGCGCCTAGAAACCAAGGACTGCTCATGTGTGGCAGGTTTAGATTTGTGCTCCCACATACGTGTGGGGTTCTCCTCCATCTATTCCCGCCCACTTGTTTTTCGTTCTGCCAGGCATGAGAACTTTTGCCAGCAAATCAATTCGTTACGAGGAGGGGCCAGAAACGTCTGTGCTTGATGCTGTGGAAATGAGAGAGCATGAACCTTGCAGTCGTCGTTCCGAGTGGCTTTTTTCTCTAGGCGCTTGCGTGCGAGCAAGCAAAAAGCAAGTATCGTCTCAGCTTGTCAGAGCGCGCCCATCTTTGAGCTGACATGTGCTTTTGTGTGAGTGAGTGAATCAGCGCGGAGATTATGAGCGTAGTGTGCCTGACAAGAGCAGGATGCTACCATTGATGTCTTACATCGAATGAGAAGCCCACTCTGCGGGCCAAAAAGTTGTTTACATGGGCTCACAACTACCCGGTTTCTGGTGCCATTGCTGCTGGTGGATTAGGTAGACTCTACTCCATACCATTGAGCTTGATTCACGCACACAGGTGGTAATACATCAGTGCGAAAATCACATGTGGGAGCACAAATGCAAGCCTCTCGGCCTGATCATGCGGAATAACAATAACAAGAGACACACTTCTCCGGCTTTCTCTCGTCGGTGGCTGAATGAACTGATCAACCAAAATCAAGTCTAGTATGGATGGATTTCCCCCCCACAAATTATTAGTTCCTGGTCGGCCGGCAGTCATCCGATCGGCCCAAAATCTTGGTCCTCAATCCAACCTCGTCCGTCTCTTTTTGATTCCTGAGTTGTTTTCGCCGACTTCGAGTTCTCACTCAGGCGTCCAATGGGAGACATTGTCAGGCCCCTCATATCCCTCGTTTGAAATTACAAGACGCCAGAGCGCGGCTGGAGAGGGGAATTGGGTGGTGTGCGAGACAAGAGACACCGCGACAGGGGACTGCCGGAGCACCAAAGGCGGGCGAATTCCGTTGATCGTTTGTTTGCCTTATTTCCTCCCCCTTCGTCTTGCGAGCGTCTGTACGAGTACTCGTTCTATTTTCAGCCGCTCGCAACGCACCGCATCCTGCTACACTAGCCCTGCGGCAAAAGACGGAAATGGAAGCGCCATTGATGCGAGCCCGGTCTGGGCTCCGAGCAGCGGCTTCGTCTTCGAACTGGCTCTCGGCCTCGACAGCGCCGGCCCTGGTATCGCCGTCACCAACACCAACAACACCATCATCACCCTCACGATATGCAATCTGCCGCTCCTCGACGGCCACGAGACCGGCCGCAAGTGCCACGGCTCGCAGCTTCTCTGCACTCAACCGGCCTGCGCCCAAGTATCCCGGCCATGTGCCCTTGACCAGGATCGAGCAAGCAGGCATGGCGCTCGGATCTGGCATCATGTCGCTGTTGAATCCCTACCGTGCTGGTACGCCATGAATTTTGATACGATATTCTTTCTCTTTGCTTCTTCTTGCCCCCTCATCTTTCCCTTGCAGGTGCTACGCTAAGCCGATAGTATGCTCTGTTACGCTGTTCCCTCACCTCTCTTTCTTTTTCCCCCCCTCCCCTGCTGGTTTCCTAGCCCCCCAATTCCCATGGCCTTTGCCTGACTGCCTGTTCTTGTTTTTCAGCTATCTTGTATAGTCTTGGGGCAGAAAAGCAAACAATGCCGGGTCCGCTTTTGCAGGATTTGTATGACGGCTGAGACAACCCCCTTGCCTCCCCCTCCAGGTGAGGAGAAAGAAGGCGAGAGAGAGTCGGACGAGCAAAGAAGAGCAAGAGAGGATAGACAAGATGGACAAGATGGAGATATGGGTAAAGGCATAGAGCATGATAGAGCCAGACATGACACATGCCAGATAACATGGCACACACACACACACACACATACACGTAGAAACGACAAGATTCTGACAAAATCGCAGATCTCATAGCCACCCTAGGCGAGGCCACGGCGACCCCCTACTTCATCTACCGCCTCCGCGACGCCATGTTGGCCCATCCCACAGGCCGTCGAATCCTTCGCCTGCGTCCGCGAATCAGCTCCAAGACGCTCAGCATCCCGGCCCTGCGCGCCTTGCCGGAGAACTCCGTCGGCCGCGCCTACGTCTCCTGGCTGGACCGCGAGGGCGTGTCCCCAGACACTCGGTCGCCGGTGCGGTACATTGACGACGAGGAGTGTGCCTACGTGATGCAGCGGTACCGCGAGTGCCACGACTTCTATCACGCGCTGACGGGCCTGCCCACCGTGCGCGAGGGCGAGGTTGCGCTCAAGGCCTTTGAGTTTGCCAACACGCTGATTCCCATGACGGGGCTGAGCATGCTGGCCGTGGCGACGCTCAAGCCGGCCGAGAGGCGCCGCTTCTTCAGCGTGTACATGCCGTGGGCAGTCAAGAACGGCGTGCGTAGCAAGGAGATTATCAACGTCTTTTGGGAGGAGGAGCTGGAGCGAGACGTTGATGACCTGAGGCGGGAGCTGGGCATTGAGCAGCCGCCGGACCTGCGAGAGATTCGCAAGCGGGAGAGGGAGGAGAAGAAGCGGCTTAAGGAGATGCGGGAAAATGGGTTTTGACGGGTGTGATGTGTATGATATACCATGGTGGTTGTGTCTCAATTGAGAGTTGTTTTCTCTTCTCTCTTTCTCCTTTTTTTTCTGGCTTTGGTAGCTTTGACGACTATCGAGCCATCTTGACATGAAGCCCTTATGAGCTGTGTACTATTTTTCTCTTTCTTTTTTTCGACCTTTTTTTTTCATGTCTCTCCCCTTATCCCATGCACGTTCACCTTGTGTAAGATTAAACAGCCAAAAGACTAGGAGATGAATAGGTACTCGTAGGTAGTCAATACCATATTGAAGAAAATGGTGGGGGAAAAAAGAAGAAAACCCCCCAATTCAATGCCCGCTCACAAATCCAACAAGTCATCATCGTCGTCGTCCCAGCCCTTTCGCCTGCTCACAACAATCTTCTCCTGCTCCTGGTTGTCCGCCACGGCTGTCAGCAGGTCCTTGAGCTGCGCCTCCGTCACCTTCTGCCGCAGCTGGCCCGTCTGCGCCAGCGTGAGGAGACGGTTCTCGATGTCGATTGCGCGCTGCTCCTTGACGAGTCGGATGCGGCCGAGACGGTCAGCGGCCTCGGGGTGGAGGATCTGGTTGAGCATCTGCTGCCGGGCTTCGTCTGCTTGTCTAAGGTGTATTCTATTTAGCTGCGTTTTGGGTCTCTTTCCAACCCAGTGACTCACTGTCTCTGTCTCTCTCCGTCCTGGCCTGAACCGCCGCCATTGCGAGAGCCTCCACCACCGCCTCCCTGCGCCTTGAGCTGCTCAAGACGAGCTTTCCGGATCTGCACACTGTTGTATGAGAGCTTGAACTTGTATGTACGATATCAAAGGGGGAAAAAGAAGGGAGGAATATCAAACAAACTGACCTGTTCCAGCTCTGATTCGTCCATTTCGAAGAGCTGCCCTTTTGTCTTGTATGGATTCCAAAAGTTTACACAGTCGTCATCGTGCTGCGGGGCCTTTTTTTCGACCAGGCAACTTAAGCTTGGTAATTTGTTCAGCGGCTCTTTGGAGGGGTAGCTATGCCCGCACGTGATCCGTATACTGGGCAAATGTAGGTGGTCGCACCCAATGCTATAGCAGCTATAACAGCTAGAATATAGGTAGCTACGAGACTAGTTTGGAAGGTGGGAATAGCTGCAGGGAACATTTGAGATATCACACAATCAACAATACTCGGTGGGGAGCGGCAATACGAATCACAGGTAGGAGGTGGTATTGATGTATTCATCTGTGCTGCATGTAGTATTGATTGCTACAGTGGCCACGGCAAATGACGCCACTTGACAAATTTATCATCGAACCACAGAGCCTCGGTCAATGAATTTGTAAGTGGAGGAAAAGGACAAGAGAAAAGAGTTGCATCATCTCGACTAATACGAAACACCAAAGTGATGCATACGCAAAATCATGATGCTAAATGCTGAAGAAATAATGAGAATAAGAAGATGATGATGAAAAGGAAAACAAGAAGAAAATCCCAAAATTAAAATCCACTGCCGGATGATACCAATGCTGTGCCATGCCATCCTATCCCAAATGATATTCCAATCCCGTGCCAATCCCAATCCCAATCCCAATTCATAAAACCCATAACATGAATCAAAAGTCGCCATACCTCATAAATCAATCTAAAACACGCTGATGTCATCATCCCTTGACGGCATACACAGGCTGGATCTCGAAGCTTCCAGTCTGCCTCGCCACAAGCCTTCCACGGATCTCCCTAGCCACCTCCTCCATTCTTCGATACAGCGCTGTATTGCCCAAGCCAGCACCACCTTGCCACTGGAAGCGACGATTCGCGCCGTTCCAGACCAGCGTGTTTTCTTCAGCATCATCAACTACCCACTGTTGATTCTGCATACGAGCTTTGGCCTGCTTGCGGTCTCCCTTCCGCAGCAGCATCTCAATCTTGGGGTCTATTCTCAAGTCCAAGACGACGTACAGCACCTCTAGATGAGGAAACCAGTGGAAAACTTCGGCCAGCGAAGAGCAGTCAGTTCCAACAGTGGGATGAGGAATGGCAATGCGTGTGAGATCCGCATCGCTCTTGACAGTGTGGCTGGCGAGATCCGGCTGTGCAAGTCGGTCAAAGGGCTCGAGACAAAAGTCATCCCACTGGTTCTGGGTAATGAAGAGGGCATCACGCCTCGGGTCAAACCGCTCCTCAAAGACATGGCAGTTTCTGCCCTTGTCGAAGCGCATCTCGACGCCTCGCTTGCGCATCCAAGACAAGGCGACGCTGCGTGCTTCGCGGTTGACAAACGCCATGGGAAGCTCAACTTGCACAGGATCCAGCATCTCGTGGCGGAAATCATAGTCGATTGTGTCCTCTTCCATAACGAGCATCTGATCGAGTATCAGATCGACCTCTGATTTTGGCAGGCTTCGCAGACCCCAGCATCCTTTCTTGTAGCTGTGTAACGTGATGCCGTCCAGATCCGGCAAGCTCTCGTGCCAGATCTTTAGGCGCAGCTCTGGGGGAAATCTGGAGAAGAGGGGAAATGTGGAAAGCGGTTTGAAAGAAGACATGATGACCATTGATTTCCAGATTTCTGTGATCGTGTATGAATTTCTTTCTTTTTTTCTATTTCTTTCTTCTTTTTTCCCTTTTTTAGAGTTGTGCCGTGTATATGCAGACGAACTCTAAATCAGGCGTATAAGTGTGTAAGTGAGCTCAGCTTACACGCACTGAAGAACTGGTGGGGAAATACAAGAAGCTTTACAGCGGAGTCAAACGATGTGAAAGTAAAGAAAAGAAAGAAAGAAAGAAGGAGAAGAAGAAGAAGAAGAAAGGGGAAGAGGAATTCTCGTGAAGCCGAATAAAAAAAAGCAAGGAGAGCTCAAGGGATAAAATGATGGGGTAAATTAGAGACACGGGACTGGCGTTGAGCACCTCGGCGAACTAACTCCAACCTATGATATCGTAGCCTCGATGGAGTTGGTTTTGCCAACCCCGCTTGGTCCATCCATGGGCGAGATGGGTTGGGTTGGTTCCCCCGGTCTTTCAGCTGCCCATCGTGACGTATCGAGCTAGTATTTGCGTTGAAGCCGGCTGTATCGGACAGGACTCTGAGTCCGAAGGGGGCGAGAGTTGCAGTTGTACGCGGGTATGGCTTCATAAGGTAGCATTGCAGCCTTGCTAAGGCATGTTAAAAAGTCTGTTGCGCAGGCCTTTAACTTGGGTAGGATCGAAATGTGCCGGCACGGCTCAGGCCGAAAAGACGATTCGCAACTGCACGCCAAGGACTCTCGAATATAGTGCCGTAAATCGCCGACCGCGAAACGGGCGCGTCAAGGCAAGGGGGAAATTGCCTGCCCTCGGACGCGAGATACTCGTACAACACGTTTCTCTCACCGATTCGCTGGCGCCGTATCTCTCGTAATTCGGTCCTGTATGAGTTATATTGTTTGTACAAGGTGCAGGTGCAGGTGCAGGTGCATGTACGAAGTATACGGTACGTTCATTGATATCTTGTATTTCATTCGTGTACGTCGTGCCGTGCCTTTGCAGTACAAGCATCCGACGACACAGAAAGCCTGTCTTTCCCCCCACGCCGTTGCTAATGCCTTAAATCCAAATACAAAAAGAGACATAGAAAAAAGAAAGTATACAAAAGTGGATTTACTCCATATTCTGTCCAGGCTAGTAAATGTAATTTACACGAGCTTGCCGCGGCTTGAAGCTGGCAATGTTCGATATCGGAACGACATGTGGCTGGGCACCGACGTCTCCTCGACAGGTACGTACGAGTTGAGCCTCTCAATGGCCAGCGAGTGCTTGGCCTTGATCATGTCCCTCATCATGATGTTGGTCGGCAGTTGGATGCCCAGCTCGTGGCCGCGCCGTATGAAGAAGCCGTTGAGGTAGTCGACGTCTGTGGGCAGGCCGTTTTGGATCTGCCGCTCCAGCTCGACCGATGGGACGCTCCGCCTCGCCATGATGCGGCTGTAGATGAGCTGCTTGATCCGATTGCCGCGGATGAAGTCGCGTATCGCTGCGGAACCCTCCAATTCCGGCATGGAATCCACCACCGAGACAATCTCTGTCAGCAGCCGGTGCATCATCCGCTGGGCAGCAGGATTTCGCAAGAGTCCGGCATACGGAATCTCTAATAGGACGCAGACAGGCTCCACAACGGAATCCAGGATGACTGACGGGAGCTTGAAATGGAGCCACTTGTCAAACGGTGTTAGGGATGAGTTGAGGTCCTTGACGCCTTGCAGGGCCTTTACAAAGTTCATCCTCGTCTCCGTCTTTTCCATATCGCGGCCGAAATCACCAAACGTCAGCTGCGTCTTCCCGAACCGCAGTTCCTTGACCGAATCTTGGCCCCGGTTAAAGGCCAACCGGTGGCTCATATGGCCAAGGAGGAAGCTAGGGCTCGATTCGGTCCCACGAAAAATCCGCTGCCTCACCTCTTCCAGGACACCCAGCCCATCTGTCATCAGGCATACCGTCGTGTCCTTGTCGATGCGGTGCTTAACAGATTGCAATGCTTCCACTGCATCGTGTCCCGGGCCAGCTACGAGCAGCTGGTCGATGTGTGAATTGTCATCTCTGGTGATGGCTTTTGGCGTTACAGACAAGTGCTCAAGCTTCATCTTGCGGTGGTCACCGTGGCGGGACTTGTAGACGTTGCGGTACTTTGACGAGAAAGAAGGTGATGCCGACGGTGATGGTGAACTCCTCTTCCACCCCAGCATTTCAACGGAGTCGTAGACACCAGACAAGGCATGGGCTATGAATCTTGATCTCTCGTCATCTCCTAGAATGTGTATCTTGTGCACTGAAGGCGATTTGGCGGCCTCGGGAGGGAGCAGCACCGAGGGCACGGAGAATTTCGGCGTAGACGATGAGGACGTTTTGGCGGTGGTAGAGTCAGGTCCGAGGGCTTTGGACCACGGCCTGGGTACTGAAAATCGGGAGTTCGCTTCGGTAGATGAGGGGCCGCGTGATGATGTAGAAGAGCTGCTGCCGCCGTCAGAGGTCGATGCCACCGTGCCATAGCGCCGGCCTCGGCAGATGCTATCGCCAGTCCATGTTAAGGGCCTCTGACATATCCGTGCGGATAGCCGCGGTCGAACTGAGCTCGCCACCGTGAAGACTGCCGAGAAACGTCGGCGAGCTGCAGCTGAAACGGGGGAATTCGAAGATGCTGGAAAGATTGAAAGTCGGCGTCTCGGTCTGTCCCCGTATGTGAGTGGACTATTTCGCTCGTGCTCGTGCTATGACCTCGGGTTTGGACAAAGGGTTGCTGGTGAGGAGGTAATTCAAGCAAAGGGTCGGCAGTGTAGAGAGTTGCGGTAAATATTCGCTGGAAATGGTCAATGAATGTGGCTGTTGAGCGAGCAATTCGTATCTTTAGGCGATCTAGAGGGGGGAAGAATTGCAGGAGCGCAGATAATGAGCTTTGGCTGGTGTCCGTTCCAATTGTCCATATGTTGTATCGGGTTCTTTTTTTCTCGCTGGGGTCCCACTGCGGGATGGTGGCCCGATAGACGAATGCACCCCGATAAGAGACTAATTTTCCGATAACGTAAGGCGCCAGGGACTTTTCAACCTTTTTCGATTCTTATCGTACCTACTCAGATGAAAAAGTGAAAGAAAGCTGCAACGAGCATCACTTTGTCGCAAACCCTCACTTTCATTCTTTCTTCACCTGCGACCATGGCGGACATACCAACTATTATGCCAGATGTGAAGAAGCTGGGCTCCCAGCTGGATAAACTGGAGGATGCGCTGGAGCCTTTGCTGGGAAACATCAGTGAGATGGCCTCTCAGCTGCCCCTGCTGGATCGCGCCAAACTATTCTCTTTGACGGCATATGCTATCGAATCTTTGCTTTTCTGTAAGGTCCAACTGTTGCTACATCATTTGACGGTTCGCATGGGCTAACTCGCATCACAGCATCCATCAAGGTTCAAGGGGGCGACGCGCAGAATCACGCAGTGTACGCTGAGCTTAAGCGGATTCAGCAGTACTTTGCAAAGATCAAGGCGGCGGAGGAGCCCGAGACAAAGAGGACGCTCACCGTCAACCAGGAGGCAGCCGCGCGCATTCTCAAGGCCGATCTGGTAATTCACCCCTCTACGCATCACTTGATGGGATATTCCGTCTCATCATATTTTTCTCTTCTGTTCATTGAGGTGCTAATTGTGATACTATAGAGCGACAACAAGACGCTGAGCGCGAAGCTGGCGGAAAAGATTGCCGAGGAACGCGCCAAGGCCCTTCTCAAGGCCGCAGAAAGCAAGAAGCGCAGCGCGGAAGAGGCTGCTCAGCCTGCCAACTCAGAGGCTAACGAGTCACCAAGCCAGAGCAAGAAGGCAAAGACAAAGGGTAAGGGCAAGAACAAGAGCCGGAAATGAGGTCTATAGGGACGACGTGCGGCATCAACTTTCTTTTCAAGAGTTTTTAGCGTGTGCTTGACGGATAGTGGCGAACACTTGCGCATAAGGGCGTTTAACGGAACGGCAATGGTTTATTTACGGTTTCTGCTTATTCAGAAGCATCACCTGATCAAGGATTTATGTTTCAATTTGGGAAAAGGATTTGGGATAGGACTGTAGTTTGGTGGCAAGAGCTGGATGGCAAATCTTCAAGATGGCATCTGGGAGCATCGTGCACAAGGGTCTTCATAATATGTTTTCTTAAAGAGGCGGACTATAATATTCTTTACACGGATAGACAATAAGGGAAATGAATTGAAGATTAATCACCAAAAGGAATTCTTTACAGAATCTTGTTTATAAAACACAGCCATCGTTCTAGACTGGTCAGAGGCGTAGAATGTTCTCGCCATAACTTCTGCTGGGCTGGTTTTAGCATCCAATCCATCTAACGAGGCACTAGCAGTTTTCTAGCTGCACGAGCAGAAACTCGGCCCCTCCCATTGGCCGCGCATAAAACCTCCAGCCTACACCCTGCCAGCATCGCCAACTCCGACTTGACCATTTGTCAAAACCTCGCCTTTTTTTACCGATTCATTTTTCCTCACCACAACCCAAAACAACCGCAGAAATGCCTCGTCAACGCTCCGTCGGCCGCGCCCCTTCGCGCCCTACCGCTTCTGCTCCCGCCCCTCAGCAGCACCGCCCTGCCACCACCATGGCCGCTCCTCAGCAGCACGCTCCCCAGACCATGATGCCTCCCCAGCAGGTGTCTCAGGGCCCTGGACTGTTTGGTCAGATGGCCAGCACTGCTGCGTACGTTTTCATTCGCTAAATGATCTTCTTTTGCTTGATTCCCAAGTGTTGCGCAATGTAAAATGTACTCGGCGCTTTGCTCCGGAGTTTGCGCACTTCCCATCTCCGGGACCTCCAATTGCCTCGGCTACTCACAAACCACAACACCAAACCACTCTCTAAACAGCACATGAGCTAACTCTCTGGATTCCCCTCATATAGCGGTGTCGCCATCGGCTCTTCCGTCGGCCACGCAATCGGCGGCCTCTTCTCCGGCGGCTCCTCCGAGCCCGCCGCTCCCGTCCAGGCCCAGGCCGCTCCCCAGCAGAACCAGCAGTACAACAACTGCGCCGGCGCCGCCCAGAACTTCACAAAGTGCCTCGACGAGAACGGCGGCAACATGCAGATCTGTAACTGGTACCTTGAGCAGCTCAAGGCTTGCCAGGCCGCTGCTAGCCAGTACTAAGCGAAGAGAGGGATACGAGATGATTACGGTAGATACAGCATAGGGGAGATGTAGTAGACAAGTCATCGGATCAAGGCCATGTAAATCTACATGTTCGTTGGGACGAGCACGGATGTATATATACAGAAAACGAACTTGGGAACGGTACGCATGCATGGGATGGTATACGTACGCACAGACATACATACATACAGACACTCTCCATAACGGGCGCAGCGCTTGGGTAACAAGTGAGATGCCAACGGCTTGGGCAGAGGAACGTCATGTTGCAAATGCGAAACAGAGGCGCATAAGAAGGACTCGCTGGGTTTATTAAAGGAAAATCCCTATAGACGGGTGCACTCTGCTCTTGAATCCTGTACTTGTACAAATAAACAATTGAAAGAAAAGAAAAGAAAAGAAAAGAAAAGAAAAGAAAGATTGAACAAGAACCCCTCCAAGATAAGAATAGAAAATGAAAAAGTAAAAAGGAAGACGCTGTGAGGCGGAAGAAAATCCAATGCTGTTGAACTATTATACACTGTTTCTGCTTTCATGTTTCGTCGTCGTCTGGCCGAGGCTCAAAATTCAGCTACATAACATGCCTCGTTAGCCTACAGTTTGACATTTGATTAAGGAATAAAAAGCCACATACCGAGTTGCCATTGTAAAGTTGGTGATCGCGCTGCAAGTTCTGTAGACCTCTGACTCGGCGATTCCTCTCCTCGGAAGCCGTTCTCGCCGTCGCATCCGACGATGCCCTTTCTCTCGTAATTTCTCTCTGCCCGCCGCCCAAGCCGATCAAGCTCAGGAGCCATGTGAAGAAGCCCAGAATCATGGCGAGAAACTTGGAAAAGAAGGATTTCTGTTGCTGCTCCGCCGCGCTGTAAGCCGAGGAGTACTTTTGGACGGGAATCAGGACCAGTGTTGACGACGGGACCAAGCCCAGCTCGCCGAGGGCCTTGTTTTCCTCCGTCGCGTCAATGTTCTTGTTGGGCAGCGGTGTCAGGACCTGCTTAAATGTGTAGGGGGCATTTCCCTCCCTGTTCTCGTCGACCCAACGCCTGACTTCTTTTAGGGGAGATGCCGTCTTGAACCGTGAGCGTATGGTTGAGCCGTCAAAGAGCCGGACCTGTATCGATGCCATTTCAGACACCCTGGTCGTCGAGGGAAGTTTGCTCAGTTTCGCACTGGCTGAGGAAGCGTTGTCTGCCTTTTGGCTTTCAATCTTCTGCTGCTCCTTTGCCGACGCCCGCATCCGCCTCTCCTCTTTGTCATCTTCTATTCGCTTCAGGATCCTTCGGCGCTCCTCTTGTTCCGCCAATCGCTTCTTCTTAAGCTCTTCGGCCTGCTGGTATACTTTGGCGCCATCTGTATTCGCTCCTGCTTGCGCCTCGGCTTTGGCTTTTTCCTGGGCTTTGGCTCGCTCCTCCTTGGCTTTTCGCTCGGCCTCTTCTTTCTGCGCCTTGAGCTTGGCCGCCCTCTCAGCGAGGATCCTGTTGACTATCTCGGATTGTGCGGCGGCTTGTACGCTCGCAGGCGGTGCATGTGTCTGCGATTGTGATTGTGTTTGGGCTTGGGACGGCGGTGGTGGAGATGTCGAAGGAGCGGGAGCGAGAACGGAAGCGTGTGCGGCAGCGGGGACAGGGGCAGCCGGTCTTGTCGGTGAAGTCGCCGGTGACGAGGCTGGTGATGGTAACGACGACGACGATGCGGCTGCGGCAGAAACCACTTGCGGAGCGGCATTGAAGGCGACGAGGATCCGACGGAGGAAATCCTCCTTGCTGGTGCCGGCGGAGATGTACTCCTTCAGCTCGCCGTGCTTCATGATGACGACGGTCGGCGTCTTGGGGAGCGGGAAGATTTGCGACAGGTATCCGGCTTCTTCCGAGTCTGCGATGAGCCGCAGAGCGACTGCTTGCGTCTCTATCAGCTTCAGCAGCTGCGTCCAAGCTGTTAGTATGCATATTACATCGTGGGTCGTATACCGCAATGTCGGAGAGAAGTGCGGGCGGCCTTACAGAGCTGTCTTGTAGATATTCATGTTGCCATGTTTGGCTCTCTTCATTTTCATCTAATTCGGCGTCAGACAAGACAAGGAGCAAAGATGGCCGAACAGCGAAGTTCAATCACGCACTGGTCACGAAGCAAAGCACCAGCTTCTGCTGGCCCACCGCCGTGGAAATGCCCTCTTGCAGGCTCCCCTGGTAAAACATGGCTTTTTCCTTGGTATATTTTCTTGCTTTTTCGTATTATCGTACAAATCTCGTATCTCGATAGGATTACGTTGAAAATTCGGGTGTTATATCGTTTGTAGGAGGCGAAACGGCGGTTCGGCGTTGGGAGGAGGATGATGAACTCAACGAGTTGCCGGGACTGAGGAGGAGGGGAATCGCAGCCCGGGCTGCCGAGAATCGATAGTAATACAGCCAACGACAGGGATTCGCATTTACTTCTGTCACACGCGTCTCTTCGTTGTGCAGCACAAAATAGCAATGGCGGGAACAACAGCAACAATCCCCGGAGCACAGAATGTACAGAATGAATAGAATCAGAATCGGTGGGTTTGTTGGGGCCTCTGCCGCTGTCTGGACAACGTTGACATTTGAAATGCGCGGAAACCGATGACGAAAGGCCAGCTTTGATGGGCGTCAACCAAAGAAAGGACCCGCGAAGATCCACCGGCAACGGCCTGCAAAAGGTTCCGCCGCGGCCCATCCGCTTTGGGACGGGCGGTGGAGGCTCTGCTGCTTGGGGCAGGCGGTGGCTCTTTGGCTCTCTTTTACAAGGGACCAGCGCTCAATTGCTGGCGGTTTTTGTTGGGAGGGACCTGCACTAGTTTGCGATGCTAATTTGTGACTGTAATAGCTGTCAGTTCCACAGGAGAGATTATCGATGGGTTGTAAAAGTTGCAAGATATGGGACTTGAGAGGGGTCATTGTCTGATGGTTAGTCGATGTGTCATCATTCCAGCGTTGTGCAAGTCGGATTCCAGAAGCCCTGTAAACACAAAAAGCTACAAGCAGATTGACGGTATTTCATCTCCATTGCCTGAGCGAACAAAGCAACAAAGAATTGAATGGTATACAAAGAATCAGAAGCATGGTTGAATTGACAAATTGTCCAATGAGAATCAGAGAACAATGCATGGCCCAAGCAAGGGTAATTCCCATTGTGCATTCACAAAGAGCTCCGAGATGTCAAACACACAGCGTGACTTACAGCCTCTATACCCCACTAAACAACCCCTTCTAGGCAGGCGGTCAACCTTCACAGCGTCCATCAATGCCATCATACTATCAAATCTCCAAATCCAAATCCAAACCACGAGACAAACATCATATATCTTGTGTCTCACCCGCACAATCCCATCAGCATTGATGAATTGCACACAGCATCTGCTGCGCAGCCTACGGGCGACCCGCGGCAGCATCACCACCAGATCCGCTCCCCAATGCGCCCGGACAACGGCAGCAGCTCGCATCTTCCCGCCCCGAGCTGTCCAGAGCAGACGCATATCCTCGACCGTCTCCCGATCCAACAAGCAGCCGGCTGCGGATGATCCGAACTTTGTGTCCATTGTCGATCTGCAGCCGCAGACGGTTCGCGCGGGCAAGCGACATGGCCCGGGCATCCTCCTCCTCGGTTCGTATATCCTTCTTCAAGTATACAACCACTATATATATGCTTTGCGTATAAGTGATTACCTGCAAATATACTTATACACGCAATATGACAACATCTACTAACATCTTTCTGTTCAATCAAAACAGCTCTCATCCCCATAACTGCCTTCTTCCTCGGCACATGGCAAGTCCAGCGCCTCGACTGGAAAACAAGACTCATCGCAAAATTCGAAGACCGTCTCATCCGCGAACCCCTCCCGCTGCCGCCTCACATTGACCCCTCCGTCGTCGGCGAGTTCGACTACCGCCGAGTCCTCGCCACGGGCCGCTTCCGTCACGACCAGGAGATGCTCGTCGGCCCCCGGATGCGCGACGGCCAGGACGGCTTCATGGTCATCACCCCGCTGGAACGCAAGGACGGCTCCACGATCCTCGTCAACCGCGGCTGGATCAGCAAGAAGCACCGCAACCAGAGGACGAGGCCCGACAGCCTAGTCCAGGGCACCGTCACGGTCGAGGGGCTGCTGCGCGAGCCGTGGAAGAAGAACATGTTTACGCCCGAGAACAGGCCCGACAAGGGCGAATTTTACTTTCCCGACGTCCACCAGATGGCCAGTCTAACTGGCAGTCAACCGGTATGGATAGAGGTTACCATGGGTGAGTGAATTGTCTCTTTGTCTTTCGACGCAAATTATCTCTATCTAGGTGAAGCTACAAAGGCGACACCAATTCCAAAAATTCCCCAAGATAGCAAAGTCCAGATATCCCACCAAGAGTCCCAAAAAACATCCGAAGCTTTCCTAAGCTTCCCACATGTGTCCCTTTTGTCAAAGAGACTCATATCCCATTTATCCCATATCAATATCAATATCCCTATCCCTTGAACAATCCATCTCTAAACAATACAATTCCAATGTTTGCAGAACCCGAGTATATGCGCATGGTAGACTATGAGGCTCGCGGAATCCCCTTTGGACGACCCGCAGAGGTCAACCTGAGGAATAACCACGCTCAGTACATCTTTACATGGTAAGTAAAAGCATCAACACTCCTCAGCCTGTCTATTTGCAAAAAAAAAAAAAAAAAAAAAAAAACGCCAGTCATGGCTTGCAGTCAAATCAGTCCCCATCAAGTCTCCTAACTCGTTGACTCTGCAGGTACGGTCTGAGCATTGCCACGTCAATCATGCTTTACATGGTGCTCAAGAAACCGCCGTCCAATATTGCTCGCCGGGTTCGGGCTGGCGGCATGTAAGGGAAAGAGTGGCGGCAATAATCAAAGTAAACATATAATGTAAAAGGAGAGTGGAAGGAGGAGGGGAATAGAAGCGGTGAAAAGAAACGGAAAGAAGATGAAAAGCATGGCCAGATGTGGTTGCGTACAAATGGCTATGCACGTTTCAAAGAAACCACTATTGCTCTTCATCTTCGTCTTCCTCTTCTTCCTCTTCGTCCTCATCCTCTGGAAAGACCAGCTCCTCTTCCTCATCTTCATCATCTTCATCATACTCTTCTTCCTCTCTCTTTCGCTTCGCGCCGCCATCTCCATGGGGCACGTACGCGGCATGGGTGGCATGGGTGGCATACATGCCAGGATGGGCTACTGGAATAGCACACCTCAGCATCTGCTGGAGCTCTCGCGGAAGATGGCGGTTGGCTAGGTTGAAGAGAGAGAGTCCTGGGTTAAGGAGGCGTTGTCTATTGTGTACAATATATCATAAGCATGGGTAAAAAAGGGGGTTTGAAAATAGATGTAAGAATAAACAGAGTGAAAGGGAGGAAATAGGAGAAAGAGACAAACAAACTCACCTATTCATCAAGGTAATGACATCGCGCTCCTCAATGGTTCTTCGACCAGCGTGATTGGCGTAAGCACCTAGATCATCTCCGAGTTGCTGAAAATACCAATCCGAAGCCTGTGTCAAGGCGCCAAGGGTGTCGGCCGGGATTCTTTGGTTGATCAACCCTGTCGTCTGTATGGCCGCCTGGGTAACTTGCCTAACAAAGGCGGGCGGCAGCTGCGGATACTCAATATTGTGCGTGGAGATCCTGGTCTTGGACGTCTTGGAAGTCTTGGCTTTCTTCTTCTTGGGCCGACCATGGGGGTATCCGATGATGTCGTCATTGGACTTCTCAGGCTCTTGCCCAAACGTCTCATAGTCAATCTTGGTGATGGCCTCCATTTCAGCGTCTCCCAGGCTGGATACGGACGCAAAGTCGCCATAATCGGGAAACTCGTCGTCTGCTTGCTGCACTGCCGTCATGTCCGCTTCTGCCGATGCTTCTGCTGACGCTAATGCCGACTCTTCTGCCGACGCTGATGCCTCGAGTTCCGTCTCGGCTTCTGCCTCGATTTCTGCCTGTCTCTTTTCGTTCATGAGCTCAATGTCATCCTCAACGGGGTTGGCAGCATTGAGGACAGTTTGGGCGTCATCAATGACGGGAGACCTCATGTAAAAGGTGGTCTGATCATTGTCACTCAGGCCAGACGGCATGTCAAGGCTAAAGTCGCTTTCACGACGGTCACCAGGAGGTCGTCTTACAAGTCATGTTAGCACGTCATTCCATCCAACAAAATTCATTGTAGGCAAATAGCAAGCGCATACCGTAAATCTGCAATCTCGGGATCTAGAGGAGCTGGAGGAGCAATCTCAATTGATCTACCAAAGGGATCCGACCCCATGTGCTCCCCGTAAATGTCATCCCACATAATGTCGTCGCCAGACCCTGGAAAGAAGCCAAAGCTGCGCCTTGGGGGGCCCTCGCTGATAGCTCGACGAGGCAGCTCAACAGACTGGACAGTCACGTTTCCATCATCGAGTATGGATGACTGTGGAGGCTGCAAGTCGTCCGAGGAGCCCTCATCAAGGGGCAAAGACAGGCGAGGCCTATCAATTGGCAGCTCGTCGTCGTCATCATCAGCTCGTCGAGATGCGCGCCTACGACTGCCGCTAGACCCTCCATTGCCGCTGCCATTAGGAGAGGGCTTGTCCGGAGAGGATGAGGAGGCAATCACATGGCTGGTTGGAGCCAGGGCGCGGCCAAGATGGCGCAGGATGGACATGGGCGTCTCTCTCTGCTCTCTGAAGCTCTGGCGACGAGTGCGGCCTGGGGTGAACATGGCAATGCGACGCTGGTCAAGTGCTCGACGAGCAGCCACGGCATGGGGAGTTGGGGCAGCCGGCGTGTTAATGGCTGAGTGAGGATAGTGAGGATTCTGAAAGAAGCGGTTCGAGGGCGTGTGAATGGACAGACGAGTGGTTGAGGGCTCAACACTCCTGGTACGCCGACGAGGCGTGTGAACGGGCACATCGTTGTTGTTTCTGCCCAGGTCCAACATCTCGAGATCCATGGTAGCAATGCTTGAGGGGGGAGAGGGTGAAGGGATAGGGGAGGGATAGGGAGAGGGCTCTGAATCTTCAGGCGAGAGTTCGCGCGCGGGGTCGTCTGGTGGTCTGAACCTATCTTGAAAGTCGAGAAACTGACGGCGATAGTAGTTGAAAGTAGGACCTTCGGGATGAAAGTCGAAGAAGTAATGATCAGGTTCAAATTCCAGATCCAGCGACATATAGCGGCTGTGGAAGATGTGATTTTCAAAAAAGGGCCAAGAATCAAATGGAACGAATCCTGCCTCTGCAACAATACCTTTTTGGGGTTGTTACTGTATAGATACAAGAGACAAGAGACAGACCGAATCGCAGATGCGCGGTTGGCTGGTGATTTGTTGATGTAAATGCGACAGGATTGCGGGATTGGCCCGTTTTATAGACGAATCCTTTTCTTTCTTTCTTTTTTTTTCAAACGCCGGATGAGAATGAGTTGGAAGACCAGTTGAATAATCAACTAGGGGTATGGGCACACAATGCAATGCAGACAAGCAGGCTGGACAGGGACGCTCTGAGAGGCAACAAAACTGGCGATGGCTGGCAACCGAGTGAGCGAGTGAGCGTAAGAGAGGATTGGATTCCGGCTGTTGTTCAACGCCAGATGCCGCCAGGGATTGACCGCATGTACTGGAGCTTATATGCCGTGCGGAGAAGCGCCGCTCACAGTGCCTTCGGCTTCATCTGGGCGTTGTGATTTGCACGTTTTCGAGGCAAGGCCAGACAGGTGGTGTAACTCGACCGGGGCGCGTCGTGGGTCTGAGGATACAGACAAGACAAGACAGACAGACGAGCAGAGATTGGACGCGGCAAAGTACACGATACATGGATGGCTGCACGTGCTGACTAAGGGAGAGGGACGCTTCTTTCCTTCCCTATCACAAGTACTTGCACAAACGGCGGAGGAAAGTGCGCGAGTAGATTACGTTTCGTTTTTTGTTTCGCCGAATTAATTATTACATTATGGTTATCATTATTTATGGTTTGCATTTTCATTATTTTGTGATTGATACGAGTGGCTGTTCTTACCCACCAAAGCTGAACGCTCGCCAACAGCTACCGGTGTGAAAAGGGAATCGAATCACCTTGCATGTTTTCTTAGTGGTTTAAGCTTTGCAGCTTCGGCCAATCAAGAGACGCGGGGGAGAGCCGGATTGCCCCACCGCTGGCAAGAAATGGGTGTGCCAGCACTATCGCCTTGTACCTGGTACTCACATACTCTAAACACAACCACCAAAAAGCTGTCAATACCAGACAGATCCATTGCCAGCCCAAAAACTGTTCTACAGAGTGTTCAAATCGCCTCAAGACATTGGCTGACTCGAGATATAGAATTACTCTATCCATCAAAAACTGCATAAAGCAGTGCAACTGACCGTCGAGCAACTGGCAACTGCTAGAGGTTACTTACTATAGCCCATTTACTGGGACTGCAGTGTGACCGCGCCCAAACGCCACCACGACAGGCCCCTTGTTTTAAATAAACATCAAACGTGGACAACCCGAAATGCTGCATATGTTAGCACTGACTCGATAACAATCGCTGCATCAGCCGCGGGGGAAATATCATTCCAATCCGTCCGCCTGCAGCAAGGGCCGCTGCCGCTTCGCTTTGTTTCCTCCTCACGTTACAATTCTTGCTACTATTTCCAGCATCATTCACAACAACAAAAATAAATCCCCCCCTCACTGACCCCCTCCCTCCTTTTCAATGCGCATGCTGTACACCCACCAAAGCAGCAGAGGGGCTAGGCGGAGGATTGACCGGTGAGAAACGTACATATGCAGGCGGCCAAACGATGGCGCAGAGCCTTGTCAGTGCTGAGCAAAACCCGGTTTATAGTGTTGCTCTGTATCAGTTACATGGCGTGTTGGCACACACACGTACTAAAACATTGGTAGCGTTTACTTTGGTCCTCGTCTGAGTCGTCCGTAACATGTCCACGATGCTACCTTGGACCTCTGCAAACTTCATCACTTCTCACGTCCTAACCGACCCAGAAGATGAACCAACAATACCAATCGCATCGCATCTACCCCAGCGTGGGGTGCTCGTGTCGGCTAGTCCAGCATAAAAGAGGCGCGGAATCCCAAGCATATGACGCCGTCTTGCCGCGAAGAGGAGACAAAAGCATGGCTCCCACGCGTGGCCAGTGCCAGAGTCCCCTCTTCTCTCGCATTCCTTTTCGCCTCCGTGACGCTTCCCGCGCTTCCCGTATCCATTCTATTTGGCTCGGGGCCTGCAGGAGAGGCAAATGGGCTGCATGGCCGGCTGCATGAGAAAAGAGAAGCTTGACTGCCCCGAGCAAATGAAAATGAACCCACCGGAAATCCACACCGGTCAAAGGCCTGCATATACATATTACGAGTATCCAACTAAGTAAGGGCCACCAAAGAGGGTCAGGAATTGTCCGCGAAGAGAGTCAAGCGCATAGAGCCGGTTCAGGAGCTGTTGACTGCCGGCTCCGTGCCTTATCGGTCTCACGCTTGTGCTCGTTCCTGTAGCTATGCGAAGCTGCTGCATGGCTGATTGGTACGAAGGAGATGCTACGAAAACTGAAAGCTGCGGAGAGAAAAAGCCGGAAGTAACAGGGTCGCCATCATGGCCAAAATACCCTGTTCGTGTTATTATTCCCCTGCCGTGACATGATGCAACGGTTACCAGCTTGTTTCTCGTATGATTTGTTCTGCCACGATCAGTGGTGACAGGAAAGACCAGCCCAGTGGTGTCACATCTTGTAGCACGTAGATGGAGCATGGCACGTAGATGAACTGAGACAAGTATCTCGGGAGTAGGTAATGCTGGTGGGCAACAGTACCCCTAATACACACACAAATAGAAAGGGATCATTTCGGGGTCAACACATTGAACCATCATCTCACCAAAAACATTCAGACACAGCCAATACTCGTTGGTATTTGTAATAATCTAGCAATCTCGTGTGTATTAGAGCAGTCCAGTGGGAGAATCAGTCTTCTCCAGACGCTCCTCAAAAAAATCGACAAGGCCAAAATAGGATGCTCGTCGTCATCACAGGAGGAAAACCCAGCACTTGGTATCAGATCATCCTAGTGATGTCTCGAAAAGTGACTCATGGATCTCATTTTCCTTTCCCTGTCTCTTCTCGTTCTTTCATTCACCTCATCTTCTCTCTTTCACGCGACCACTCGGATCGGCCAAAAAAGTCTCGAGGCCCACTCGAATCGGGCCCTGTAGTTCTCCCCTGCTATGAGCACATTAGTAGATAGTTGGCCTCTCAAACTGCAGTGCCCAGGCTCTGGATGTATCGGCCGCGCTCGACGTTGGCATACGAGTAGGGTCTAGATTCCGGTGGGAACGTGCCGTCGGCTGCCCACAAGTCGATGAGGTACTGCATGGGCTCCAGCTCGCTCGGCTGCAGCATCTCGAGCGTCGTTGCCGTCAGGATGAAGTGGCTGAAGCAGCTGTTCAGCTGCTTCTCCAGGTTGAGGTGGTAAAAGGGCTCCACGAAGTGGTCCCAGTACAGATGGGCGTAGACGCGGAAGATTTGGCGGAATATCAGTTGACAGGTGCCCCCGAGCTGCTTGGGAAACCCGCTCCTGGCTCCAAGCCACTCGTCGCCACCCTGCTGGGCGGCATTGCTCGTGTACTCGGGGTGAATGGCAAACGACACCGTGTCGGGGTCTGTAGGGAATAGCGCGGGATCGTCCATCTTGCCAGACATCCACCGCTGCATCAGCGTCATGTATTCATACGCTGGCAGCTCCACCGGCTCGTGATTCCTGTTGAGCCAGGTATAGGAGTGGTTCCTGTTACACAGCACGCGCGCGCATGCATTAGCCCAGACGCCCTCGAAACTCAATGGGGCAAGAAGGCGGCCACTTACTTGCCGGCAGACATCTTGGGACATGTGGTCGGGTTGCAGATGCTTGTGCCATCCTCCTCCTTCTCGTGGAGGACTCGGACAAAGTTCCAGAGATTGCGGTAGTGCTCGACCACTGTATAGCTAACTGTCAGAACAAGCATGCTCTCTCTCGCTCCGGCTCTCTCCCAGCCTCTCGATCTCTCGGTCTGTCTCTCTCCTCCTGTGTACATCTTTCTCTTCCCCCGTTCTATCGGTTCGTCTCCCTTGGGCTTACTTACCCTGGTGTGCCACCCACTCTCCGTGGTCAACCGTCTTTGGCCGAGCACTCAACGTCATAAAGTTTCCCTTTACAATGTGTTTGGCACAGGCCGTGTTGAGCCATAGCGGCAATGGCTGGGGGATATCGAGGGGCGTGGGAACCACAACATCTATTGACTTGGCGATCGACAGGGACTCGGGCAGAGTCACTCTAGGCGCTGAACTCGATGTCGAACTGGCGGACGGGTAGTGGTCCGCGGCCGCGGTCCTGTGAAGGGACGCTGCAGCTGAAGCTCCGGCTTCAGACGCGGTCGGAGTGGTTGGACTCTTGACAGGAGTCCCTGCCTTGGCAGAGTTTCCCCGAATCTGGGCTTTTCTGGTGCCGGAGACGAGACATTGAGTTAGCAAACTTGCAGCTGAAGGAGCACGACACGTAATATCAAACCCCAAAACGGAACCACAAGAGACCAAAGGGGAAAGGGAGCCGGGAAAAAAGAAAAAGGCAGCTTACATTCCAGAGAACAGGTTGGACATTGCGTGGTAGGACAGCAGCTTTGGAGTAAACAGTGTGAGCTCGTGATTATGGCGGGGAGTTTAATGGCAAGGAAAAGAGCCATAGGCCGCTCTCCCCTGAACACAACAGGACGCTAGTCTGCACGAGGACTGGAGCACAGTAATTAGCTAAGCAGATTCGACGGAAAGGGGGGCGAGAACAGGGCCTTAGTCTTCCTTTATTTTCAATGGGCTATTTTCTAGTCGATCCGCTATTGTCTGTTAGAGCAAAGTCGACGGCAACCCAAAATCAACTTGATCTACGATCTTGTGTTATGTAAACTAATCAAAGGCCAGGCTGGAGAGTGATTCTATGCTGACTGTGCTTTGAAAGGTTGGCAAAAGATATGTAGACTCTAGGTGGCTTCTGTTGTTGTATAGAGCAATTGAGTATAGGTTATGACACACCAAGGCACTCTCACATGGAGGGTAGCACTGCATCGTCACTTCAAGGGACTGCAGTTTACAAATCATCTTCTGCGTGTTTACCCCATGCTGCTTTACCCTCCATTTCTCTACATACAAGACTACAGGTAACAAGTATAGTATACTCTTCCCGCCGCGTCTGGGCCTCCTGGATAATCGGTCGGACTTGGGCGAATAATAGTACTCCGATCTGGAAATCCATGGCCGTCATCTCTCATCGAGCTTCGTGTCAATCAACCACTGCCAGTACCCCGCAATGGCTTGCAAGCATGATCACTTTGCAAGATAACACATGTCCACCCTGGAACACGGCTGTTACTGTCTGCTCGAGGCCGGGGCAAGTGGAACATGGCGTCGTTAGCCCATCCATGGCTTGGAATACGAAGGCTGGCAGACACACCACCCGCGTCTGGCGATGGTGACAGGCGAGAGAACCTGGTTCTCGGGGCGCAGGATGCAACCATCTCGGGGATCAAACAAGATCTTGGTGGGCGGCTGAGACAAAAAATCAGTCCAAGGCCGCCCCCAGGGAACATGTCAGCATAAAGGCAAAACTAACCCTCAGTGGGTGTGATTGTTCCGGTCTGGGGGGCCCGATATCTTTCGGACTGCATGTCTCATTTGCTGGGGCGTGTTAGCTGAAGCTGTCACATTTGTTAGCTTCAAAAAGAGTCCATAGAATTGCTTTTTCTCAGGTGAGCCTGTTTTCCTTGACGCGAGTCTCAGTTAACTCGCTCGTCAAAGGTTCTGACCAAGTGATTTCGTCAAAATGATAGCCTCCTTGGTTCTTGAGCATGTCTCGCTTGTTCTAAGAAGGCGTCAATGGAGCCAGGCTGCTAGCCAATAGAGCTGCGTTTTCTGGAAATCCGAAGAATTTCGGCCTCATGTCATGGACCTCATCAACCAGATTTGCTTTTTCTGAGATGTTCGGCCGCATGTCTCGGCTGAGAATAACCACATTATCACACAGATTTTAGTCTTCTGGGATGCCCGAAGTTCCTCAGGCGGCCTGTCTCCAACTCCATCGCTGCAAGGGGTGCCAACTCCATAGTTCAATGTTGCTTTCTCTGACATGCCCGAAATTTCTCGGGGGGTGTTTGTCTAATACACTAAGAGATCACGAGCAGGCCTTGACATCCACCTGCCAAAGGTATCCGAACTTTCGGGCGGCGTGTATCCGGCTCGGAGGGCATCCGGTGACCATCCTGTCTTGGATTTGCAATCTAATGCTCTCACTCTCAAGCTTGGATCCCAATCTCGCTTTTAGACAGGCCGCAGCCAGACCATTGTCAGAGCACAAGCCATTGGTTCAACCAAGATGTACTCTAGATTGACATGGATGTCATCTAGGAGATCCGAAAGATTCTGCCACATACCTCATTGAGATACCCCATCGGCATGGGATGAATTTGTAGCTCATACCCCAATGTAGCCAAATCAGACGCCATGGACTACTCATGGTCTTGAACATCCTAGACATCTCGTATACGGGCTATCAAGCCGCGGCTAGAGATGCCAACCACTTCCCAACACTTCATGTTATGTTTTTTTTCGTCGGCGATGTCTCATCAGAACACCCCAACCACTCGAGGACAAAGCTAAGGTCGGTCGTAATCAGAGCTGCAAACTCGGCGCGTAATGCAGTGTCCGACACATATCGGGTCCCTCACGTCTCCCCAAAGCTCCATCCACACTGACGTGTAATCATGGGGTAGTCAGAAACGGCAGGAAAGTGAGGCGGCAAGCGTCTGCGTCTTAGCGGCTATTTTGCTTTTTGTCGCAGTGGGCGAGTATTCAGCCAAAGACAAGATACCGTGACCCTTGCTACGGAGATACCAGGACGGCGGCCGCTTCGTCCGCAATGATTTGTTGCCTGTTTCAAAACTACGCCCCATGATGTATTGTCGTTCAGAAGCTCTGAGGAAGTTTGCCCCCTTGCAAAGACACTCTTTCTCCGGCACAATAGCACAAGGTCGTCATTATGATGATGACCCCCATACCTGTGGTAAATTGAAGTATTGCCCTGCGTATTCCTCGGTCACAAGCTTCGGTCAGGAGACACCAAGGCGATTCTTAATTCCTGGCATACCTGCATGTTTATGCAAATTTTGTGACCTTGCAACCGACTTGGTTTAAACAATTATGCTCTAGCTGCTGATTGTGACTTTTATGAATGACCATATCGAGGTTGTCTCCTTAGAACATGCTGGTACCTCTTTATTTTGCATAGATATGCCGAGATTTTATTTTTGCTTTGGCTTATGGAGGTTTCGGACAGAGTGTCCTGGCCTTTAAACTTTCTCAACATTTTCGGCGACTTTGGTGGCAATGGAGAACGACTGTACTGCCGCCGTGACCTATTCGAAGCAATGAGGTAACCTGTAGCGGCTCGTATCCCAGAGGCCCCGTCGGAATCGCATTTATAGCGATATTTCGCAGTCTAAAGGGTATAGGGTAAAAGGTACTATATAGCTATTCGGTGAGAAGGCGAAATTAATGTGCTGTTGGTGTTGATTGAAGTAAACTAAGCGTCAATACATCAACGATTGAATGCTTGATATGCTTGCTCTTGGATATCACCTCGTGAACTGTAGATGCAATGAGGTATCCGTCGCTTCTCGTAACGCTTGTCGATGTGCCACCATCTACGACTGCTTGAAATGGCTTGTATCAGGATTTGGGATGTTGACGTCGTATGAGTATTTTGATCATTCACTTTAATGTTTCTCGTAGTTGTTCTCTCGCTTGTACCGTAAATAGGGGCTATACTTTTCGTTCTGATCGCACTTAATCAGCGTGTTTTCTAGTCTGTTCGATGCAGAACTTGTTGATTGCAAATTGGACTAGACAAAGTGTTTACCGGCATCGAGTTTGCTGAGGTATATCTTGCTTAAATAGAAGACCGGAAGCTGAGTGTCGTTCCTGGGATCAGTCCTGATGCTCTCTCCACGGCTTCCTGGCTTAGCCCTGAAAAGGACCAAACGGCCAGCCCACCTGTAGTCTCCAGCCTCATCTCTTTGCGCAGACCCGGACCCTGTCGAGAATAATATTACCACAATCAGGGATATAAACACAGCCGCTAGACCGTATAGGTAGTAAGATATTGTGAGAAACGGCCTCTGTGAGAATATCGTAATGACAATCAAGCTACGAAATCTGACACCAATATCCTTAGGAATGTCTTTATGGCGTTCTTTCCGGTCCTTGAGCTCCTCAATGTTGGTCACAGTTGGCTTTGCCCACTATAATCTGGATGATATGAGCATTGATGAACGGAGCGGAGAGGATGTATATTGCATCCCTAAACGTTGCAAAGAACTGGCACAAGAAGAGAACTGCCACTTTTGTAATTCTGGCGCAGCAATTGACTTCTCGACTTGATTAGGACGATAGCATCTATCGAGGTTGAAAGCAACTCTCCAATAACGCGCTTCTTGTTGCGGAACCGGATAGCTTTTGCTAAGTGCATCCGAGAAGCAATTTGGCAATAGCTACATACAACTTCGCCCTGAGTAAAAAGCAGGTAGCGGACGCGTACTGAATCCCAACAAACAGCATGCCTGTCGATTCTAGCATTATAATGCCTTGGCTCTTTGAAACTGGACGATGTTGTCTCTTGAAGAGGCCGGAGGCTGTCATTTTCTCTTCTGGTTAGGAAACCGGAGGCACAGTGACTGCATTTCGTACTTGAAACTGTTTGTGATATTCAGCCTCGGACCAATATTTCGAAAGTGCCTCTGTCAGATCAGAGTTTAGTACAGAGACATCGTCCAAGGTAACACATGCCCTTGCACAGTTGAGTAAAACCAAAGGTTCATCTGAATACTGTTCCCACGATTGAACTAGAGGACGGCGTGCAGGAAAGAATCATGTGCGATCATCTTCACTATTTTCTTCGATTGACACTGACATGCTGAGCGCAGTTCTCCCAACGGAGAGGATATTCTCAGCAATCTAATGATGGCAATTCAAGATCTATGCAATGGGAAATGCAGAAATTAGTAAGACATTGCTAATATCCTGATGGATGCATGGATTGGACAGCGCTGAGCACATACGAATGGCCGTTAAAGATGCCAAGCAGCAGTTTTATGAACTTGCAGAATAAAAGAAGATCGTTGCTCTATTCTGGCTGCGCTCCCAAAGGTGACGTAGATCCTGGCACCGCGAGTGCTTGGCTTCGAGTGTATTTGTGCTCTTGTTGGAATGTTGAGATGCCGGTGGTTCAAAAATTCTTTGTTGAGATTCTCTCTAGGCATCCTTCCTTTGTTTCTGCCATTGGCGGTGTAGACTTAAGAACAGGCGCATGTACGTAGATTTGCAACTCCCAATCCAGGTGCCTAATGCTGAAGAAAACGCCTCCTGTTTCGACTAAACTGCTTCGATCTCAGCCTTGCGGGTATCTAATCATCATTCTCTTCTCATTGTTCGTCATGTCCTCGGTCTTTCTTCCATCGATCGGCACTGTTTGAACCATCTTGCTGAGTAGGAGGATGCTCTAGACGTGACTGGTTCTTGGCGACGATTCAAAAGGAGGTAGAATTGCTCTGGAATTGCTTTAATTCGACACGCCCAACGCCATACTGTTCAAGCTAATGACTGGTGCGTTTTTAGGCTTCAGATAATCATGTGGCATCCTTGCTATTGATATGTTGCTTCCATCTGCCGATATGAAAACCAGAAACGAGCTCCTTTTGCATTGTCCGAGGTTTGCAAAGACGGCCAACTTCGGCACCAGCCTTGGAGATGACGAAGTCGAGCTCTAGAGCGCCGCTTTGCAGCCTCCAACAACCGCATTTAGGTATAAGAGATTCCGGCTTGAAGGTGCAGATATCCCAGAGCCGCTTGGCCGCATGACAAACACCTGCAGCATGTGCTAGCTTCTCGATGTGGCTGCGCTATCGGGTGTTTAGCAACGCATCTCCCTTCTTTTTTGGTCTCGAGAATAAGCCACAGTCGTATCTAGGGTGGGATCTGACGCTGAAGGGGCTCCTTAGACGTGGATTAGGCACGGCAGATCTGGGGAAGCAGAGCCAATCTCCTGGACCTGTGGATAGATTAAGTGTCCTGCGCATTGCATTGCAACACGGAAGCTTGAGCTTCAGAGCAGCGTCAATGCATTGCCCCTCCACACCTCTATCCCCATGTCGTCTTCCGTCAATGTCACGATATAGCTTCTCCTTGTTACACATCACGGAGAAAAGCATATGTGATACGAGTAATGGAAGCACCAGGACTTGCGGCAGTTGGAACCAACACCCCATCTTGGCGTCGTGCAAGGCTACGTCAGATTTGGTTTGGAGGCGGCGTGTGTTTCAAAATAGCAACAGAGTTGTCACAGAAAATCACCTAGCCAGAGCACCGACCGTCGCGCGAGAATCGAAGAAAATTTTCGTTTTCTTTTCAATTGATTCATTGCCTGCCATTGTTGATCTCCTACACGTTGGTTAATGCGGCGAAAGGGCACAAAAGAGAGATACGTCCGTGTATTTGTCCTGGTGCATCGCTTTTATTTGCGGTGCATCAAGTATATGTAAATAAAAAAACACCTGCAGAAACAAAACGCCCAACATCCTGACCGTCGTTCATCTCCGGCTCCGTTGACTGCTTCAACTATACGTAATTTTGTTGGCGACTCTCTTCACCACCGTAAGCTCATTTCCAGTGCGTCGCTTGGTGATAGGGGCAGGGCTGCTGTCGATATCGAGCACAGGAGAAGCAACGGGGTTCTCCGTCCCATGATCGTGTGCCCGCCACTCAGCGTCGCCCGCGCGTAAGCAGCTGCAGCACGCACTTCGGATTGTCCAATTCGACTTTATGCGAGGCCAACAAGAGCCTACAAGCTGCTAATCTAGAGCTTGGATGAGTCTGGCTAGTCCTCGGCGCCTAGTTCACGACGGACTCTGTCCCAAGTCCAAGTTCCACAGCCTCCTGTAGTATCAATCAAACCCACCAAAAGAGCGGATGGGTATAAGGCAATCGACATGCTGCATGCACTGCATTCCTTCTAGAGCCTTTCCGCTGCAATGACATGCACAATCACAGCTGGATTCCCGTCACATCATATCCGGCTGCCTTGGCAATCTCGACTTGCGGGCCCTTGCCTTGCAAATGCATCTCGGGTCAGGCGACTTGCTTGACCTTGACCTTGACTCGACTCGCTGTGGACAGGGTACGTACCATGCCGGGGGTCTTTTTTGGTGCTGGGCTGTTTCTCTCCTCTTCCTCGCCTCTCCTCCCCACCAACAGCCACACGCATCAATCTTGATCTTTCGTCGCCAACTTGGACCAAGGTAAGCAGGTATTCATTCTACTTGATGGGCATTTGAGTCTTTCGATCCTCGAGTCTGCCTTTGTTTGGTCAACTAAACCCATCCAGATTCACCTATCCCGAACCAGACGGTAAGTCATCTCGTCCGTAACAAATCAAAAGTGCCCTGTTCCCTTCCATCTTCTCCTTTCACTATCCCCATCACACACGCGCGCAACACACACACACGCACCATACACACTGGGCTAGTGACTAGCAGACGCAAAAGGAGAGCTTGTTTCTTTTTCTGCTTCTTCTTGTTCCTATTTCCTGATTCGTCCCGCCCTGGCCCGCCATCCGCCATCCGCCTTCTCCTCAGGTTTCACAGCGCCTCGCGAGCTCCCTTGCATCATGTTTCTTGTTGGTGCGGCCATCTGATTTGTCCTCCCCCCCCTCGAATTCCCTTGCAGACGAAACGCGTTCGTAGGTCCGGAGCCTATCGCTCGTTGCCTCCCCCTCGATTCTGTCTCCACCAGCTCCAGTGGCGCTAGCAGATACAAGAATCAACAGGGTGCGAGTACGTGCAGCACCAGTCGCAGGTCTTTTTCCCGTCTCCTAGCACATCTCCTAGCAACTGGCAAGACGGACTAGGCCGGAATCAAGTTAGCAGTGGGTGCTTTTTGATTCTGCTACTGCTCGTGCTGCTGCTAAGCTGCTGATATCGCCCTCGACTTTGCCCGGGTCTCTTGCAGCTTCACCTCCTGCGGCTGAACCCCGTTCCACTGTGTCAACCTGCTTCTGACGTTGATGCAGCCTTGAAACCCTCTCCAGACCGAGACGCCGCCATCATCCCATCTCCGATTCCCGCTTTCCATCTCTCTCCAGCCATTCCTCCATCTTGCTCTCGTCATCTAATTCTTTGTCCTCCCGTCCCCTCTCGCCAGATCCGTCCCTATCCTATTCCATCCTCTCCAATATACACCGCGCAACGCCCAGCCTCTCGCCCAATCCAGCCTCCACCGACTCGTTATTTCGATTCTTGCCAACCCCTCCAACGCATCAACATCATACCATACCGCCGTAAACTGAACAATCAGGACAGTAGAACCATCGTCAAGTCACAGCCTCATCTCGGGACGAAATGGCGCAAGCTGGAGTTCAATCGTTGAAGGTAAATCGCATCCATCTACTTCTCTCCGACTTTGATATTTTTTTTTTGGTACTGACGCCTCCTGTCTCCTTTAGTGTGTCGTGACCGGTGACGGTGCCGTCGGCAAGGTATGTGACCATCTTGACTTGCACCTCCTATTTTCCAAGCTAGTTTGACTAACTGCGATTCATAGACGTGTCTGCTCATCTCGTACACGACCAATGCTTTCCCCGGAGAGTACATCCCGACCGTGTCAGTACCGCCTTTCGATGTATAAAGAAGAGTTGGGTTTGCGACTTCTCGGCTGACATTGAAATTCTCATGGCAGGTTTGACAACTACTCTGCTAGCGTCATTGTTGATGGCAAGCCAATCAGTCTGGGTCTTTGGGATACTGCAGGTCAGGAGGATTATGATAGACTCCGACCCTTGTCCTATCCTCAGACTGATGTATTTCTCATCTGCTTCTCCGTTGTGAGCCCGCCATCCTACGACAACGTTGCTGCCAAGGTACGATATACATCTCCTATTTCCGTCTGTGAGAAGAACCAAAATATCTGACCATAGATAGTGGCTCCCTGAGATCACACACCATTCCTCTGGAACCCCCATCATCCTGGTCGGCACCAAGATCGATCTTCGAGATGACCCTGCCACCAGGGCTACTCTGACCAAGCAACACATGGAGCCTGTCAAATACGAGAACGTCCTGAACTACGTCAAGGAGGTGAACAAGGCGAACAAGATCATCTACAAGTACATAGAGTGTTCTGCTCTTACGCAGCGAAACCTCAAGAGCGTCTTTGACGAGGCTATCCGGTAAGTAAACGACGACGGCCTAGGACACGCTTCTTATACTCTCCTTTTGCCGTACCCGCCTTCTTAATCACAGCTAACGTTTCCTGTCTCCAGTGCGGTTCTGAATCCCACCCCGCAAGCGTCCAAGGCCAAGAAATCCAAGTGTTCCATCCTGTAAAGATTTCTCGCGAAGCCATTTTCGTTTTCCCATCTGTAGCATCTTGGGCAGCGAAGGCCTCTGTTAGAATTTCTTTTACGAACGATTTCCAATCTCGAGCCGCCGCCGCCGCCGCCGCCGCCGCACGAATTTTTTTTGGGTCACCTTAGAACGGTGTACATTACAGAAGCTCCTCACCGGGACGTATTTCGATGAACTAGACCGACTTAGTTATTAATGGAGAGTGGAGGACGAGACGAAGGTGAAGAAGGTCGGGGCTCTGAAAAGGAGATTTCTTTTTTAATGAATATGGCTGTCCTGTGTCTTGAGATTCCCCCCATTTTCCTGGTACTGTTGATAGGGTTGCAGCAAGCCAGAAAATGACATTTGTTGACAGGACGGCAAGATTCTGACGCCATCTCGGTGGTCCTAGAAGGTGGAAGATGAAAGAAAATATTACCGCTCCATGGCGTCTGGCAAATTAACGATTTTTGTTTTGCTTTGCGCCAGTCGTTTTCTACACTGCTTGAAAGAATTATATTTGAACCATTTTTTCTCTTCTCGTCCCGCTGCTTTTCATTCCTTGACTCATTATCGATAGTATTTTCTGTGGGTTGATTTGGTATCTATAGATGGCAAATGCATAGCAGATGGTGCTCGGTATGTATTATACCGGTATTTAGAGGACAGTCTTTGATGCGTTGGCTCAACAGCTAGCAGATTGCATAGGAAAGACCAAGTTCCGTCCAATTCGATTGGGGGTATCTCTCTTTCAGCAATTTTCACACTTTCCCTCCATCTCTCGCGCAGCCATGCTATCCTAATGAAGCAAACTCGTCACTAGTTCGTTTCCGATGCTTGATACATATGTCCCAGCTCTCATAGACGGTAGATTCAGCTGCAAAGCCTTCAATCGTCACAGTCCCATATGAAAAAACAATAATAGGCGGCCACCAGCAAATTACATCGAAATAATCAAAGAAAAAGAAATAAACAGTATAAACCAGGCCGTATTTGACCAAAGGTAGCAACAAATAAGCGCAAGTGAAAGCATACATGAAGAATTCAAGTGACATCATCAACAAGGTAGATTACTTAAACAAGTTTCCAAGACCAGGGAGACGGGCAAGACGGCTCGGGTGGATGTCCATTCTGGACGGGCCGCTGGACTTGCCATTGGTCTGGTTCTCTTCCTTGGCCGTCTTCTCCTTTTCGATGCGCTTGGCTCGGTTTTCGTCGAGCTTCTTGTTCTTTTCGTTGATCTTGTCCTGGCGGCCCTGGCTCTTTCCGCCTCCACCAGCACTGTTGAAAGAAGCACCAAAGGTTAGCATTAACTCTCTTTTCTCGATTTGTGATACACTTTGTGGCATGTTAAAACTCACGTCAGTTCAACATTGATTTTTCTCGCCGGAGAGATGCCGTCCTCAAACATGGAATGGTGGAACTTGTCCAGGCACGTCCTCTGGTGCGTCGGGGTTGCGAACTCGACAAACGCGATGCCCCTGCAGACCTTGGGATCCTCCTTTTTCGTCAGGCACCGCACAGCGACGGGCTTCAGAGTGGCGAAATGCGCCGTGATGGACGCCGCTGTGGCGGTGTAGGGGAGGTTGCCGACGAAGACAATGTTGCGGCCCGCCTTCTGGGCAGAGGACGAGTCGAGGTCGATGACATCGCCGGATTGGGGCACGTCATTTGACGAGGAGGAATTTTCCTTCTTGGACTCCTTCTTGCTGGACTTTTCTTTCTTGTCCTTCTTCTCTTTCTTGTCTTTCTTCTCCTCCTTCTTGGCTTCTGTCTTTCCGTCTGTCTTTGATTCAGACTTGGGCTCTGCCTTCTTTGGCTGTGTGTTCACCTCGTCATCGTCAATGTCCATGCCCTCAGGAAGATCCTGAATGTCCTTGCGCTCCTCTTTCTTCTCCTTCCGGGTCTTGTTGTTGTATTTGGACTTGTCCTTTTTCGGCTTCTTCTCTGCCTTTTCTTTCTTTTCCTTCTCCTTCTTCTCCTTCTTCTTCTTCTTGTCCTCCTTGGACTTGGGCTTCTTGGACTTTCTCACTTCATTGCCTGGCTCGGCATCGTCATCGCTGCGCTTGCGCTTCTTTTCGGGCAAGTCTTGAGGCACATCGACGGGCTTGACGTCCTCCGAGGCGGCGGCGGCGCGCTTGGACTTCATGGTACAGGACTCTTTTGTGAAAAATGCCTAGAGAATTAAAAAGAAGGAAAGAAAAAAAAAAGAATTGGCGTTTCGAGTGGCGGGTGAATGTGGAAGACAGCTGGGCGCGACTGTCGAAAGCTTGCGACGATAAGAGGAAAAAAAACTCCAATCGCTCTTATCGTGGCTAGATTGCCTCCAGTCGCAATTTTTAGGTGGGGCAGCTGCTTAGAGTAAGGAAAGAAGGGACTGCTGGCCTGAATCGGCGCTAGTGGGCGCAATCCTGTAGCTTCCGCTTTGGCGTACCGCTAAAACGGCCAGTGACAGACAGAATGAAATAGAGGCTCTCGATGTTCTAGAAAAAGATCCATGGCCAATGAAGATAATGGTACATTATAGCATCAATACGACTGTTAAGAAGAGTCGACTACCTTACTCTGATATGATACAAAAACTGGTAGGACTTGAGCGATGCGTCCAATCCGCTGGTCAAGAAGATCTCATCAATCAGCAGAAGATGGCCTCCCTCCGTGCCTGAGGATCGACAGACATTCTCAGTACCGTCCCATAAATCACTTTTACACTCCATAGAGCCATAGACTATGAATAACTCCGATTTGCAAACTTTTTCGTACTCTTCCAAGGATTGGATCAGAATCACCACTCAATCTGTTCTGCTTGACCCTGCTTCGACATTCTGCCACAGAATCAGATCTCAATCAACTGAACGATATTCTGGCCAGTTACTTTTGCACATCCTCAGGCTAATGAGGCAGCCGTGATATCAATTTGGCAATGTTGAGGTACATATTCTCCATGGCAACCGACTGCTCTACATTTAGTCAAAGTTATCAACACCAAGAAGTCTGGGGCCTCACCGTATCCCGTTCGATGAAAATTCCAATCTCATCGGCATGGTCCATGGTGTCGTTGACACCCAAGTGCCAGTAGATATCACGCTTTCCAGGCCTACCAAAATCGACGTCAGGGAGAGAACTGACGCTCCTGACGCTTCCACGTGGACCCGGCATGGACGCGGTATTGACGATGCCGTCATTCTGGAGCCAGTCTTCAAAACCGGGTTCTAAAATCTCCCTCTGTGCCTGCGTAAGCTGCTGGCCGCCCATTGCGTAGACAGTTGGCATCATTATTGGTATGACGTCCTCTCGTGGAATGTACTCTCCTGGGCTAGGAAGCTTCATATTGTAGCCCTGTATCCGGAGAACCCTAGTAATCACTGATTGGGTGATCCATTGCACGAAAGCAGGGAAATCAACTATCGCTGGGAGAAACGTCCACGCCCCATTAACCACCATGTTCGTCAGCTGCCCGAGGAATGGGATTGGTATCCCTGTCTTGAAGGGAAACTCATTTAATGCGACCTTGCCCCAGTCAGGCCAATCTGTGGGAAAAGGTCTTGTTGCATGAAACGATAGACTGAAGTAGAAGATGTTTGGCGAGGTGTTGATTGTTTTCTGGGAGAGTTCATGGACACCTTCGATACTGTTGTCGTAAAACCCGTTGTTCTTGGAATATAGCCACTTCCACACAGGGCCATCGGGCGATTCTAGGCGTTCAAGCATGCCCTGGAAGGTTTCCCCAGTGTTTCTACAGATTCCCCAGTGGTCAAGCTGGAGGTCAAAGGCTCTCTTTTCTGGAGGATTGAAGGAAGCTGTAGCAAAGAGTCTCGCAATGAGCCCAACAGCGGCGCACAATTGTCGCTGAGTTCATTAGTCTTTGGAACCTTGGTCAATGTAAGGAGTGAGCCATTGTTAATACATACATCAACAAAGCTCTCAAGAACATCTATAATAGTAGTTCCTCGGTGAGGGGTCCCGAGTGTTGTGACTGAGGTGGCCCAGTCATCCCTCCCTGGCTGGCCAAAGTATTCGGTATGCAAATATCCGTTGTTACGTCTCATTAGATCCAAAAGAAAGCGTACCGTATTTCCGCCTTGAGAATGACAGACAAAATGAACTTTATGATCTTTGTCCCATTTCCAATCTTCAAAACCCCGTGAGCGTGAATATAGGATGGCGCGCCTTCTGTTGGTGGTGCAGGTTCGCTCTGGGCCACGGTTTGGGCCAAAATAATTACCATATTTCACATCAACATCATTTCTCTCCGCAAGGGTATTTGTCTTCAAGTCAACTGTGCTAAATCTGATAAAAATGAGCCTAAAATATTGAAGTGCCTAGGTAGTGAGAAACATACTGCCCAAAAGTAAGCTGCCTGTATAGCTCACAAGCGCGTTCCCAGTTTGTCGATATGGGAGCAATGGAAGCGACGATCACTGTATAGCCCCTATTGGCCAAGAGGGTCGCGATGTCAATTTCGCCGCCGAAGTAGTTGATGGCACCGAATAACGGAGCTCCCCAGCCTGTGAAACCCGGCACTTTGTTGCGTTAGTACTCGAGCTGGAGAAGATTTTTGAGACTTACCAAAGACAATCGGAACCGACTTATCATCGGGTGCAATATTCTCCACCTGTTGAGCGAGGTTGTGTAAATTCACAAGCCCATTCGGGTCATTGAGATTTAGAGCCATGAGAAAGGGTTGCCGAATAGTCTACTAAGAGCGAGGATAGCGAAGATGGTTGATGAGAGGGATTGTCGAAGTGAGTGAGAAAAAAAACCCTTTATGTTGATTTGTGGCGATGCAGGAGCGAATACGTCCCGTGAAGTATACAGATTGACGGCATATTCATGGACCTATATATCCTATCATGTAGGACTTGACAGGCTATCTCTGTGAGTGAGCCTTATAGCATAATGACGGAAGTGCTATTCAGCTGGTGCAGGTCTCATTCAGCTGGAGAGTATAAGCTCCCTTCAGCTGAAGAGTGCATACCAAGTTGACGCACCGGACCAGTCAAAGGCGGCAGGGCGAATGGCGAAGAGGATGGGGGCTTCCGCGCGCACTTGAGTTTCTGAGAAGGTCCAAGCCATCCCATCAACCTTAATTCAATTAAAGCAAATTGGATGTGGCGTAACCCTTTGAAGATTGACACATTCCACGAAATCACATGCTCATCAATTCAGGTGCATCAGCTGAAATGATTTGATACCACTAATGTCAGCCACCTTGCGGCTAGGCGCCCTCGATGTAGCATTAGCATAAGAGCGCCTTCAGCTCAGATTGATTCAATCAGGTTGAGTGCTATGCTCTGATAAAACTTCTTGTTTGTTAGTGCATTGGTATTGAACGGTCGCTTCATGTTAACATACGGTGTTGTTATGCTCACTACCCAGAATCGGCCGCTACTTGGTGCCATCTGCAAGTAGGCGAATCTCGGATGCTTACTTCACCGTCTGTCTCTTCATCTCCCAGCAGAACTAACTGTCCATCAGAAGTTGTTCAGCTGGGTACATATGTAGAGGATGCTGGCTCCGATAATAAAATGTTCGAGGTATGCATTGAGACTCCAGTGATGGTGAATGCGCGTCAGGGAATATGTAGAGATCAAAGACTGATAGTGATTAAATCGATGCATATAGTGTCTCGTAAGCTGGAGGGCACAGTGGTGCGGCTGTCTCGCGTCTCTACTTTGTCGACAACCGCTGTGCAGATCAACCCGAAAGCTTGATTGGCAGAATCTATCGCTTTCGGCAATGAGCTTCTCGGAAGCCACCGGCTCACCAGACGGTACGAGTTCCGTGATCGCAAAGGTTCAAGTAAAAATGGGCATATCACGGTCCGGTCGACTGAGGGGGCCGTTCCGAGCTTCTCTCGGGAACTTCCGTTGTTGAGTGGCTTGTTTTTGCTGGACGAGTTCCATTTTGTGTCAAGAAATCCTGTCAAAATTAGTATTGAAGTACTAACTCTCGGGCTTCATGCTAACGATGTATATGGTACTTACCGCCTAAGCTATAACATGAAAATAGAGGAGCTGTGTGTATCGCTGTTGACAGCCTGGATCATTCCAGCTGAACACCAAGATATGCGTTACATGTAGAAATAACGGCACTGTAGTTCGAGGGCTCACTTTGCTGTTTATTTGGCGGGCTTTATTGCAAGTATCGTAATCAACGGGAATAGGGCCTACTGATTACATTCTTCCACTCTCTCCAAGGGGTCCGCGACGTGATCTTCTGGCCGTTGCAGTGCCTCCATCTCACACGGCAAGCCTGATTGAGAAACAAGATGGCGGCGAATGAAAATCGCAACAAAGATACACACAGCATCAGCCTAAAGTTGATAGATCAAACTCTATCCCAAAACTGAACGGATCTATCAGGCGGCGCTGACTCGTGCTTGAGGCATCTGGGAGCCCAAGTAGGTATGAAGCAAGCCCTGCAATGCTAGGTTTACAGCATGTGCGATAAAAAAAGCGGAACATTCATGACTGCCGTTGAAGCAACGTTTTGCAATTGGTCGCTAGTTCGCTTCTTGTTGCGCCGCGTCGACGCCACCCGCTTCTTTATTTTCTGCTCCAGTAAAGGCCGAGGCAGTAGCCAGCGATTCGGCATTGACTTACCCGTGGTAATATCTGGTAGTTCTGCGAGAGCCTTTCAGAAAGACCAGAATGTGTTGGTTGCACAAACGCTTTTATTATATCTTTCTTGAGACAGGTCCCAATCGACTAAACATGCAAGATTCCATCTGGTACTACCTATTCCTACGTAAGATTGCCATCAAGGGCTTGTCTGATTCATGTATCCATCCGCGGCCGCCTGATACATAGTCCACGTTCTCTTGACTGCGATTAGTATAGCTGCCAAGGGTGTCTTAACCGTAGTACTTACTATCTAGTCTATGTGGTTTGGTATCGTGCTCAAACCAAGTCTGGGCAGGAGCATCTCGGAGAGAGTCCGCGATTCAGTCAGAGATAAGCCCTGGCCACTCATTGGCCGGAATGCCGAGTTTTCTGCGTCATCGCACCACAACCGCCAACTTCTCTTCTGTTCCTGCCACTCGACCGTGCGGGGAAACGGCGGTCTCCTTCCTTGGGGCAAGAGGCTACTTGTACTTGCCCTCTCCAGCAGCAAACCAGCGAGAGGCATGACTAGCCCAGGCCTGGGCGTTCTTACCCCACGGATTTTTAGGCTGCTACCCCGCAAGTGCAGGGGCGGCGAAAGCCAATCGCCGGCCCTGAGTTAGCGAATTAGGGGAGCTTAGCGCAGCCTAGAACCTCTGAGTGCCCTGTAGAAGCCATGGATCGAGAATCTTGCGTGTGGAGAAGTGAGAAGCCGATGCCGTTTGGAGACCGTTGATCGCAAGGTTGCTTGAATTCCCCCATGCGCATAATCTCATCACAGCTGTTTGTGATCCCGTCGGGTGTTTACGAATTCGATTGCTTGACAAGGTTCATACATACGAGTCAGCCAGCCATCCAGCAACTCAATCAATCAATCAACCAACCAGTTTTTATCTCTGCAGTACTAAAGACAACAATTAAGCAAATACTGTACCGCCCTCTAGCTCCAGCCCCAGATTTCGGAAGTTGATCGACATCGTCTACTGGCCCTACCATTCCCGATTGATCAATTTCCTGCTTCTCATGGCGCCATAGAAGAGAGCCGCTCCACCGAAGAGACAACAACCTTGACGCCAGTGACCTTTGGATGGTGTGAGTCCTTGTAAATCCCGAGTCCAACTGCCAGGGTTTGCGCGCGTGTCCGTCAAATGATACAGCATGTGCTAACCCGCATTGTGGAGAAGAATGATGGATGAGTGCAACATCGTGGGTCACCCCAGAATCTCAAGCCTCCCCAGCTGCTGTTACTACTTGGTAGTATTACTACGAGGTTTAGTATTACTGGCAGAGAACAACAAGGACGGCAGCGGCAGCTCGGAACAAGTCAGCTCCTAAGCATGGGTCCTTGGACGGCGGGCTCTTCAAGTAATACGCCGTCCCTTTATCATCTGTCGTCCCCCTCATCTGAGACAAGACAGCTCTTCCCTCGGATGTAACCTTGCCATTGACCACCCTTCTTTTCTCTTTTTTCCTCCTCTTTTCTCCAACTCTTTGACCTGATCACCACGTTTTCTGACAAGATTCCGTAGCATTCGTTGTCTCCGGTGTTACACTTTGACCTACACAGCGCAATGGACGCCGGAAAATATGCCTCTGAGAAGGCAGAGGTTGAGAAGATTCAGGATGTAGCAGCAGGTAACCTCACAACAGGCTCTGAGCCTGCTCTCGGAACTTTTGCCGACGTTGATGAAAAGAAGATTCTTCGCAAGGTACGTGACTCTATCGTCGACCCCAAGAATCGCCAGTCGCGTCAGCTCTCCTAACACTATGCTGGTATAGATGGATATCCGATTACTCCCAATGCTTTCGGCACTATATCTCCTCTCGTTTCTCGACCGTAAGTTGATCATAAAACATAGCGCAAGTTCATTCAGCTGACTGCGACAAGGCGGAAATATTGGCAATGCCAAAATCGAAGGACTTCAGGAAGACCTCAACATGTCGCCTGGCCAGTACAACTGGTGTCTCACCGTCTTCTTCTTTACCTATGCAGCATTCGAGGTTCCTAGCAACCTGCTCTTGAAAAAGCTGCGCCCCAGCCGCTGGCTACCATTGATCATGGTCTGTTGGGGTGTTGTCATGACTCTCATGGGTATCGTCCAGAGCTTTCGGGGTCTGCTGGCCGCTCGTTTGTTTCTAGGAGTGACAGAAGCCGGCCTATTTCCCGGTGTAGCTGTAAGTTTTACCTTGTTTGGAACCATAACAGCATATTTCGACTGACACGAATAGTACTACTTGACAATGTGGTACTGCCGCGAGGAAATTCAGCTTCGCCAAGCGCTCTTCTTCTCTGCTGCCTCCGTCGCTGGAGCTTTCAGTGGCATTTTGGCCTTTGGAATCAGTAAAATGGACGGCGTCGGCGGACTTGCAGGCTGGAGGTGGATTTTCATCCTCGAAGGCATCGCGACTGTGCTTGTCGCGGCCATGGCCTTCTTTTTCCTTCACGATTTTCCCGAAACCGCAAAGTTCCTTACGGAGGACGAGCGCGCTTTTGTTGTTCATCGTCTAAAATACCAAGGCCAAGTTGGCCAGGCTCAGGTGGCACAAGCCGAAGAATTCGAATGGAAGTATGTTCGTCAAGCGTTTACCGATTGGCAAGTCTGGGTCAACATTTTCGTTTACTGGAGTGTAAGTCTTCCGCCATACTAGTCATTTCACTAGGTCGCTCTCTTCCATCTCTTTGACTGTACTAATATTCAATGGGAACTTTAGATTGTTTGTCCCCTCTACGGCATCTCCCTCTTTCTCCCCACCATTATTAAATCTCTTCATTACACATCGAGTACCGCCCAGTTAATGACGGTACCCATCTACGTTGTTGCTGCTATCCTAGCTGTCATCAGCGCCTACTTTTCTGACAGGGTAGGGAAGCGGAGCCCTTTCATCATTGGCTTCCTTTTGATGATGATAATCGGCTTCTCCATGTATGTCTTCACCACATCATCTCTCCCAGCTGCTTGAATAACAAGTATGATGACTAATCATTATTCTAGGTGTATCGCTTCGTCGAATCCGCATGTTGTTTATGGTGGTATATTCATTGCGGCTTGTGCCATTTATCCTGCATTTCCTGGAGTTATTACATGGCTATGTAACAACTTGTCTGGGAGTTACAAGCGCAGCGCTGGAATGGCTATTCAAATCGGAGTCGGAAATCTTGGAGGTGTAAGTGGATGCCCATCTTTGCGCCTAGATATTGCCCCCACCGCTGACACTCCTTTCATAGGCCATGGCATCCAACTTTTACCGTCAGGCTGATGGCCCCCGATTCATCCTGGGACATGGCTTGGAGCTCGGCTTCATCTGTATGGGGATCGTCGCCAGCTGCATCCTAATCTTCAGCTACTACACCGTGAACAAGAGGCGCGAGCAAAAGCTGGCGGATGGAGAGGCGGCCAACTTTACGCCAGAGGAGTTGTCGGCTCTGGGAGACAGGGCCATCACGTTTCGTTACATGTTCTAGTTTGCGGCCGAAAGTCGTCGCCTGTCCTTGTCTGGCAGTTTGGAGATAGACGAATAATAAAAACGACATTGTATTTCTGCCACGACTAACTCGGCGCATCTGCCGTGCGCGGGACTCTAAATGAAGAACTAACAAACATGATAATGACCACAATGTTTCAATACGCCTGCTATAAACAACAAAATAAGATCTTGGCCCCTACAAGTAACCGTCCACTCTCCTTGAACTTCTCCTCAGCGTGGTAATATCAGCTCATCAATATCCCACTGACGAGGATGATGAGCAGAGCAATGATGCAAAGCTGGGGTGTCAACTTCGAAACGCCGTTGACCAATGCGATCTTGGGAAGTGATGTCTCCGTTATCACGTTGTCAGATGACACAGAAACGCGAGCTGTCGTGGGCCTCGATATGACGAATCCGCTCTGTGTCGGAAGGCTGCTTGGTTCAGCGACGTGGACGGAGTCAACCATTGATTCCACCATCACGCTGCTACCAATGGCCAATTGAGCGACATTGCTGATCATGTCTGTGGAAGCTGCTGTAGCCGCAGGAGCTGGCTCCCAAACAGTGACAAACATCGTCTCAGCACCAGCCTCACCGGGACGAATGACTTTGACCATGACCGAACCCATTGGCTCATCGTGTCCTGTCGTCACTGTCTCCTTGCCCCCAGATTCGCATGTGGTGGTAGATGATTGACCATGTGCCCCTGCACTTGTCGGGCTTGATGACCGATTAGTTTTGGCAGTTGGCCAAAGAGTGGTCACCGAAGGTTCGACGGTCTTGGAAGTAGGCTTGCTTTCTGCGGTTTCCGCGGCGAGGTCATCCGTTTGGCTATCTGGAGTATGTGCCGGTGATGATAAGCCACCTTGCCCATATGATGGTGCCTGCGCCCCTGAGCTGGGGCTTTCCTGTGGACTGGGCTCTGCACTTGATTCAGGGATGCTCGTTTGAAAGGCAGAGCTGTTGTCAGGTGACTGCTCACCAGATCCCGCGCGTGTGTATTCTGGCGGGTTGGCGCTTGATGGATCTGCCGGTTCAGCTGAGGAAGGTGGGGATGGAGGTGTAGATGCCGGTACCGTGGCAGCAGGGGGTGAAGAAGGAGAAGGTAACGAAGGTGGTTGAGCAACAGTTGCAGGCTCTGCAGTCTTGGATGCCTGAGGACCTGGGATTGGATTGGCCGACATATCCGTGCCATCTGTCACCGAACAAGGACTTGATGAAGGGGTTGGAGCTGGGGAAACAGGTGCGGATGTAGCAACGCTGGAGGTTGCTGAGGCCTGAGGGCCATCGCCACCGTTAGGAGGATGAGAAGGTTCCCCGGCGGAGTTGTTTGAAGACTGGTTTGGATCCTGAGGATCAAGGCCACCGGTATCTTGAGAAGCGGTCGAGCATGGAGATGTAGAGGCTGGAGACGATGGATTGCCTCCCCCTGGGGCCGCGGAGGGTGCAGATGTTACAGCAGGATCGCCGTGCTCACCGAGATCAGTTGACTGTGGAGGAGCTTGCCCGCCGTCAGGACCATGAGAGTTTGATAGAGTAGAGGTTGGCGGACATGAAGATGTCGTAGCGGGATCAGCCGTTGACTTGGTTGGTTTGGCTGGGGCGGGTGGCGTAGCATTGCCATTCTCGCCATTGCCATTGCCGTTCTCGCCCTCGCCTTGGTTCTCACCATCACCCTCACCTTCACTCTCACCAGGATCAGGACTGGAGACAGGAGGTGGTGGTGTAGGAGAGGTGGCAGGCGTAGATGGAGCAGGCGGAGGGAGAGTCACAGTGACAAGACCGTCTGGCCCGGAATTGCATTTCAAATCAAGGGAAATGTCAAAGGACAAAGTCAAATGGTCGGTATCTGGCTGAGATGCATCACCAGGCGTGCCGTACGCAGGAGGGATCGATGGGGTGGGAAGATATTGAGGTTTCTCCAGGTCGACGTGCTGGACCTCCACGGGATGCAACGGCCCAATGCTCATGCCCAGGTTGGAACATGCGAGGGCGACATGGGCCACCGCTGGGCCGTAATCGTACTGGGGACAAGCGCCGATGAGGCATTGGAAGAGAGACTGTGACAAGCAATCTGTTAGCACCACCACCCAACAAGGAGTGCAGACGACCAGATGTCGAGGGCGACTGACGTTTGTCATGAGCTTGTTTCCACAAATGGTCTTGAGGTCGAGTGCTCCCTTGTCGTTTCTGATGTTCGAGGCACAGTTGACAGCGCATCCTGTGCAAATTTGGTCAGTACAAAGACAGTTCAAAAGGGGAAAAGCACAGCAAGCAGTGTCACTCACGCGGTGCCAGGTCGCTGGCATCGCAGAGACCAACGTGGAGGCAAGCAGCCAAGACAGCCGCAGCGGAAACAGGACGCATTGTTGCAGCGAGTGAAGCAAGGCGAAAAGAGTGTTTGTGCGTGAGAAAAATGGATTGTCGCAATTAACGATAGTCACCAAAAAGGTTCCAAAAAAGACGCGTGAGGATGAATTCCAAAAAGAGTGTTGGCGATGCTCTGGTGGTGAATGATGGAAGATGGAGAAGAGGAGGAAAAGGGGAGAAGAGAGAGAAGAAGAGAAGAAAATAAAAGAGGCCATGGACAGTCGCTTAGGGGACGGCGAAGTGCAAGGAAAGAGCTTCGCTTGACGCGTACTCGGATGGCGCAAATGGGAGGAGCTTTGAGGAGAAGGAAGGAGCAGATACTTTTGGGTTCACATGCATGTACCAAAACAAAACGACATCATCAGTGGTACCGTCAATAACACGCGCATGTCCATTCGTCTATATCTACAAAAGTAAAACTCCATTACAACTGTGAATTAAGAAGAAGCAGCAAAGGGCGGGAAAAGGCCCGTCAATGCTGTCCGTGATGCAAAGTAAACGTGGTGCTGAGCAAGGCCGTCATGTTCCAATACGTGACATCCTCACTAATAGAACAACAAGGCCAATGGCTTCTTCTCATCGCCGTATCGATCCTTGAACTCCTTCCTAGCCAGGAACCGTGCAAGCGGCATCATGGTGTCCTTCATGTCCATGACGCCCCTCTTCTTCTGGTCAATATGCGAGGCATCAACGACCAGGCGCTGCAGCTTGTCCAACGACAATGAACCTGCCACTGGTCAGACTTTGAACGTGCTCATATTTATTTTCATGTAGTTGCTAGGGAAATCGAATTGACAGGCAGGTACTCACCATTGTCGATGAGCTCCATCAAACGTGCTGGCGTGCCAACACCAATGCCAATCTTCTTGTTCTGCAGCAGGGCGACTTGCTCTTCGACCTTCATGTGTTTGGCAAACTGTGACAATTCATGTGAGCACAAAAAAAAAGCTGTGGAGCATATCAAATCGCAACTCACCAGCTTTGCAACTAGACTATCCTTGCCTGAGAATTTCCTTAGAGCTCTATAGTTGCACTTGTCAGTAAGTCGTCCAAGATGGTTCATTCAGTAAAGGATGGCTACCTGGTAAGGTCTGCAGCTCTCAAGCCTGCACCAGCGACAATAATGGTATGGGGCATGCCCTTCTTCTTCTGCGCTCTCGCCAAGCTCTCTGGATGTTCTGAGAATTTCTCGAGAAACTCTGGCAGCTTTTCCAGCGACCTGTTTTCCTGCCATGAGGTGGTGTCTGTGATTGAAGATGCTACAAATCTCATGTGAGCATTACTGAATGAAGACCAGTCCGGGACATGTTGGAATACCTGATATGGCCAGATCTGACAGCTCTACGGGACTCAGATCGGCACCGAATCTCGCTAGCTTCTGTGCATGATAGTCTGCTAGAAGCTGGCCGTCCATCTTGGAGAAGAGTGTGTTGAGGCCCAGCTCGGTGTCGAGGCTCTCATCGTCAACAGCGTGTTTGGACTTTCTCTTTTTGGCCTTTTTGGCCGGAGCCGCCTCTTCAGCGGTCCGTTTCTTTGAATTAGACATTTTGTCTGATTGTGATTGGGATTGATGTGATTGAGAGCTGCAATTTTTTTGAGACGATAGTGGAACTTGACCAAGGTGAGAATTTTGCGGGACGCACCGCACCGTGCGCAAAACTTAGCAAACACGGCAAATTTCCTGGTTAGCCTCTGCTTGAAATACAGTGCGACACTGTATCTCACCGAGAGCGTCGACTTTGATGCATCCGCCACACGGGATGGACTGACGGTAGTATGGTGTGAGTCTTGGAGAGTAATATGGTTTAGGTGCATCTCCAATCTGAGCGCATGAGCTGGTCTATAGAGTTATTCACTAAGATTCACTTGTTCCAAATTCATGTTTAATATATATCATTGTCAATTAATATCTCTAGAGATCAAAGGATCAACTCGTTGACATTCACTCTCCATGGTAATAGACGAAAAGTTCACTCATTTCGAGAACTGTAGGCAATGCCTCAAACCCATTCCAAACGCCAAACTTGAAAGTTCAAAAAAATAAAATAGAGCCAGCAAAATAGAGGCCGAAGAAGATGCGTATTGCCCTCAGAAGATGCTGTTCACGATGTTGCTACCAATCGATGCACCCGCACCGAAGATGGCGGCGTTACCAAGCTTCTTGCCGAACTTCTTTCCGTACTCGCCAACCTTGCTGTTTCCATCTCCGCCTTGCTGCTGAGACGGCTGGCCACCCTCTGCTATCGCCATAGGTGGCACACTGGCATTGTAAGGGTTCTGTTGCGCTGGAGGTCCCTGCGGGTAGCCGTATGCCGGCTGCTGGGGGTAGGCCACGGGAGCGGGCATGGGAGCCTTTTGCTCCTGCTCGACAAAGACGTAGTTTTGGGGGAAGATGCCCTCCATGCCAGTGCGGTGGTTACGGCCCATCCACCAGTCCTGGTTCATGTATTCGTATACATCGATCTTATCGTCCTTTTCCAGGCTCAGGTCGCGAGCATCGCTAGCATCGTAGCGGTACAAGGCTCTCGCATGGGCCAAAACGGGCTTCCCAGCCGGAGCCGGAGAGCGCGTGGGGACGCCAGGAGCGGGAGTATCATCGTATGAAGGAGGGGCGGGAGACGTTCCGTTGACGTTGAGATTCTGAAAGGCCTGGACAGGGGCCTGGACCGGAGGAGTTGCAGCTGCCACAGGCTGAAGAGGTGTTTGGTTTGCAGAACGAGCAGCGCTTCCGGGAGCGGCACCACGAAGGGGAGTTTCGGCGGGCAGGGCGGCGTGGATAGTGTCGAAAGCGGCTTCGTCGATGACGCCTTTCTCAAGGAGGCTTTCGAGCTCCTGTTCGATTGTTAATGATTTTATTCAGCGGAAGAAAAGAAGAAGTAAAGACTGTTTCCCATCATAGAGGATGTACTCACGTTCTTAATGGTTCGAAGAGACCGGTTGGTCTCCATGATGGTCTGGCGGTCCATGGTATTGGTGGCAGAGGAATGCGCGGAATAAGGCTGGGGGATCAGCAGCCGCTTTCGCGTGTTAGTTTTTGGTTATGGAAGAGCCTGGAGCCCTGTTTATAAGAGCCGGCAATAACAACGAAGGATGGAGTGCTCGGAAGAAGGAAAATTCTACGTCGAGCGCCGGTACTCCAGGAAGAAAGCGGTAGATGCAGGATGCAAGAACTGCAGGGGGTGGAACGATGCTGTGAGTGCTAAGGAATAGGTGGGAACAATGGCAGCTATGACAGCCCGTAGTAAACTGGAGTACAGGTAGTGGCTGTGCTGCCACGAATTACGCGGAGCGGACTCGAGGGCGGATTGGCATTTCGGGGTCTGGCGACCGGCCGAGAACGAAGCCACAGCAGCTGGAATGACGACACAACAGGGGGAGTAAACATTGTCATTACAATGAAATGAAAGACTGAAATGATTTATTTAATGAATAGCGTCGTAATCGAGCCGGAGATATCAAAGGAACTGCCACAACAAAGCGTTCATGTTGGTTCAATTGCATGTGTTTTCTTTCAGCACGGGCACCGAACCAGAGAGAATGCTCTACTTGTACTGAACAGGTACAGAACTGAAGCGTCGGGCCGTGTTGCCCGCTTATGTGGCTGGTAGATCGCTGCGTTTGGAGAGAGTTTTAGGTGATGTGTGCTGTTGGCCCTGAATTCGCCACCGACCGGAGGCAACCCAGTGCCACCAGGATTCTCGCTGCTAGTATCAGTACAAGTCAGTACATGTTAAGCAGCATAATGGATTAATGGTGCCAGAATCTAGATTGAACATGCAGGGTCACGAAATCACATAGAGACATTGGTGTTAGTTTATACTCTTTTTTTTCTTCATTATTATAATGCTACTTTTGTTTGGTCTGTATGACCGTCATCATAAACATCTAGGTACATCAGGATTCTCTGCTACTTTTGCTCAACCCCAATCTAAACAACAAACTTGCTCTCCTTAACAGCGTACTTGTCAACGTACTCGTCCACAGTCATGGCCTCGAGCTTCTTGCTGTCCTGACTGAGCTCAACGAGCTCGTTGACGGTGGCCTCAGGGAAGTGAGGAGCCAGGTGGCGCTTGTACTTGGCCAGGATGACGGGCTTGGCCTCCTCACGACGGAGACGGTGGCCCAGAGGAGCCTCAACAGCGACCTCGTCGAGGACGGTGCCGTCGTTGAGCTCAACGGTCAGGGCGTTGGAGATGGTTCGCAGGGCAGGGTCATGGTAGTCCTGAGTGTACTGGGGGTCCTCAACGCACTTAATCTTCTTGCGCAGAGACTCGACAAGCTCCGAAGTAGCAGCCTCAGAGCCGTCAACGTAGTCGGTGGCCTCGAGGCGGCCGAAGACGAGCATGACAGAGGCCATGTACTGGATGCAGTGGTCACGGTCGGCGAAGTTGTCCATGGGCTTGAACTGCTTGTCGATGATGCGGATGCAGGCCTCGTGGGTTCGGCAGGTGACGGCCTTGATGTCGGCGGCGGACTTGCCCATGGCCTTGAGCTGGTGGTGGATCTTCTCAGAGGCCTCGACGGCAGTCTGGGAGTGGAACTCGGCTAGTTTAAAACTGTTAGTCTTTTGAAAATAATCATTCCGTAAAGGGCACAATCATTATCATCGCAACTTACCAGGATAGGAGACCTTGAAAAGGACGTTCTCCATGACGTAGCTGCCGTAGGGGCGCTGGAACTCAAACTTCTTGCCCTTGAACAGGACATCGTAGAAGCCCCAGGTGGGAGCAGACAGGACGGTGGGGATACCAGACTCGCCCTTCATGACCTTGAGAGCCAGGTTGACGGCGCGCTGGCAGGCATCACCAGCAGCCCAAGACTTGCGGGACATGGTGTTGGGGCTGTGGCGGTAGGTTCGCAGGCTCTGGCCGTCAACCCACGCCTGGGTCACGGCATCGGCAATCTGCTTCTCGCTGAGGCCCAGCATCTTGGAGACAACGGCGGTGGAGGCGACCTTGACCAGGACAACGTGGTCGAGACCGACCTTGTTGTACGAGTTGAGCAGGGCCAGGCAGCCCTGGATCTCGTGGGCCTTGATCATGCCCTCGAGCACGTCTCGGATGGTGAAGATCTTGCCGCCAGCCAGGTTGCCGCCGGCCTTGTTGGTGCGGTTAATCCAGTCAGCAACGGCCAGGATAGCACCCAGGTTGTCAGAAGGGTGGCCCCATTCGGCGGCCAGCCAGCAGTCGTTGAAGTCGAGCCATCGGATCATGGCGCCAATGTTGAAGGCTCCGTTGACGGGATCCAGCACAAAGGGAGTGCCGGGAACCTTTGTGCCGTTGGGCACGACGGTGCCAGGGACAATCGGGCCCAGCAGCTTGGCGCACTCCTTGAAGCGGAGGCCCTCAAGACCGCAGCCGAGGGTGTCGAGGAGAATCCATCGAGCAGTGTCAAACTGTCAAAGTTGCAGTTAGAAGCTGGTACAGAGTCTCGATTTCTTCGTCTTCTTCTCCTCTTTCTCTAGCCAGCTTTTATTCTCTCCACAGCCATCTCGGGAGATCCCAATTGATGGCGGGGTATGAGACAAAAAAAAAAGACCACGGTGATTTTTTTCTTTTGAAAATGAGGGGCAGCCAGAGACGCCCGACAGTCTCGCGGAGAGGGGCAGCAAAACTTACAGCTAGCTCAGAGTCAATTGTCTTGTTGGCGACATAGTCGGCAATGTCCTTGATCTCAGGATCGTACTCGCGCGAGGAAGACATGATGGGCGCTCCAGAAAGCTTGGGGATGGAAGTCGAGAAGTTGCTGCGCGAGGCGGGGGTTGAAGGCACAGCAAAGCCGGACGAAGCAAAGCGAGCGGCGCCGATGGAGGCCGAGCAGAGACCACTTGCGGCTCGCGACTGGACTCGCAGCTTGGATGCTGATCTGATGCTGCGGGAGATGGCGGACATTGTGAGGCCAGAGGAGGGCAGAGTTTGAGTCTGTAGTCGACGGATTGGCTACTTCCTTCCCGTTCAACAAGACCCAGAAAGACTGATGGGAGAAGAGAGAAAAAAGGAGGAAGAGAGAAAAAAAGCTTCGAGCCGCTTTGTGAAGGCCGTTCCAACTCGCCGTGAGCCGAGCTTGCACCCTGGCAGACTCCGCCAATTTTAAGTGCTGCCTCTCGCTCAGCCGTCAAATGCCGTCCGCACCATCCTCGGCTAAACCAGGCCGATCTAGCAGCTGATTTCTGGTGGTTTAGCGGCATCTCCAAATCCTGGGGCCCCGGAGCCGGAGCATCGCCGGCCTCTTTCACCTCGGTCATGGCTGGCGAAGCTCCGGGCGACGGAGCAGGTGAAGCTCGGCTACTTTTACGTCGTACCGGGCGCCGGAGTCGCAGCAAAGAGAACCGGTGGCCGAATACATACAAGTAGTGGTAGTAGTGGCATACTCCGTATAAACAGCCTTTACTCAGATGATTCGTAATAGCCTCTTACAAAGTGTGTTATGCTCCCACAAGATCACGACATTATTGTCTTACTAACTGCAATCCCGGCATTGGGAGTCGCCTAATTTAGTGGTAAGATATAGCAATTCGAATCCATTTCTACATTTCCCCCCTCTTTTCTTTGTCATTTTCTCATGCAAGTACAATGCTTTTTCCGTCGGCGTGATGCTCTTTTCGTTTTACCGCACAAGATCCTACCCTAGAGCTAAGAATATGCCGAGCTGTTCAACACAACTCCTACTCTTGTACTCGAGTCAAGGGCTATGAGAAGAGCACTGAGTAGAAACTTTTCAACAATTCAGGTGCAGACTACAGGCGAACATGTAAATGTAGCAGGCAGATGATCAATTCACTATACAAGAATTACAACAATAGAAAGTCCTTGCATTAACCCATCCATAATAAATCGCATCAATTTTACATCGTCTTCAACAGCATTCCAAAGCACCACCGAGCAAACAGTCATTATACATGTATCCACCGCTTCAAGTTCCTCCACTACATGCTTCACTCCACTCACCATCAACAGTTTCGCATAGGTACTATATTCATACGATCGGTCAGCCAATTTGCTCCGGCTTGTAAGCGTAGACAGACATGGTGGCTTGCATTTACATTGTTCCTCACTCTAGATGGTCTCCTGGCTCGATGTAGACTGCCCCGTCCTGATGGGGAGTATGTATGTCGGACAAACGCTGCATTGGCCCTTTTTTCGGTGCTTCGGCATGATTGTCGGCGAAAGGTTGAGCTTTGGGTTTTGGCAGACGGGATCGGGCTTCTGCTCGCTTATACACCTCTGAAACACCACACACTTGATCTGATGCGGCGGATCAGGTAGGCAGTTCTCATAGACGACGGACGCGACGGTATACAGACACATGGCTGTGATTATAGCGATAGAAAGGGATTTGTTGAGTGGACTCTAATACGGAATCAAGTGCGATGAAGACTGGAAAGCAGATGGGAGCCAGTAGAATCGGTGGCCTTGGATTAAGGCCTATTAAAGATGAACAGATGCAAAGCACGGCGACTGTTTAACAAAGCGTCAAGACATTCTCCTTGAGTAGAATGCGGGCTCCCTGGGCAAAAGACACAATTTCGGTCCTCATCACCTCGAGAACAAAAGCCCCATTCTGGCAAGCATTATGACAGGATCCAACTCCAACCCCTTACTCCTGTGGGATGCTTCCCCATGTCCGCCCAGCATCAATGTCTGATTTTTTGTCTTTTTTCTTTTTCTTTAACTCTCATTGGCAATCTGCCAATGTCTCTTGAAACTTTGGGTAAAATGCGCCATTTCAAGAAAACGACACATCGTTTGTGTGTTCAATGATGGCACAAGACAGCACCATCAGTCGCCTCCCTTTGATTATTGACATCCTGGTATATTCAAGAGGGGGGTGATGCGAGATGATTACAGCCATTACAGCCGCATAATCATCGATTGTTTGAAGCGAGATGCCTCTCTCGTGGCCAGCTCCAACCCCCCTTCACAGGGCTCAAGTTCCATGTCCGATCGTGGACAGAGATCGCCGGCGTGTTCATCGGGCTGAGCCACGACTAAGCTACCATGAATTAGGCATAGCAAGGAAACCGGGGAGCAGGCATCTCGAGAATGACTAACCCAGCCAAACGTAGCTCTGCCAAGCAGCTGTTTATAAGTGCCAAAGGGAGGGAGTGTGCATGGATGATCGCCGACATGGCCTGACCATGACTCAATCTTTCATGGACCTGAGCCTGTCATTGTCTCTGAGGACATGTAGAGGCTAGCGTATGGGCGGCAATGCGCATGTGGGTATCTGGTCACGCTGGAAGAACTCTCCGGTCCGCTGCCAGAGGTGAAATGGCCTGTGACACCAATATTAGCTGGTAGACATTACTGTAAAAGGGTTGGCTGGTTTCAAGGGCTAAGTTTGAGCCAGTGGCTAGCTGGAGGGACTGTCTGATTAGACGCGGAAGCTTCCGAGCTGGATGTGTGGATCGCTAGGGCTCTTGGTGGAGTCTTTTCATAGTCACTTTGTTTCTGTACAAAGCACTTTGTGCTCTTTGGTGAGACGACCTTGATGGGCTCGACAAAATAGCAAGAGAGATAAAGCAAGTCTCACTCCTTTGGCATAAGAGTCAAACATGGAGGCGCGTGACGGCCCAAAGTGGCCAGTGCGGAGGACGCAGCCCCAGAATCAAGGTTGCCTGGTATCTGGTGAGGCAAGATTGGTCAATCTCTCGGTTATATGGTGTGTTGTCCTTGGCTTCTAAGTAGGGAGACACTGGTTCGATATCGTATATGCAGCTTCAGCTTGCTCTGGTGAAACTAGTGTACATAACATGGCTAGTGTTGAAGCTGGATGGCCCTCGGAAGAGCTGGAATAGCCGCGAGTAACCATTCTGCTCCCCCCTCTCTCTTACCCTCCTAAGATGAGACTTACTCTTGTTGCGCTCGCCATCTTTATATGGTGAGCCGAAAGTATCAAGTATGGGGAGGTATGTTTATTGGCTTGCTTGAAGGGGAAGAGCCCAGTATCTGCCAGATGGTTTCAAGGCCCAGTTCCCGCTCTCATAGAGACTGAGAAACTCAACCGGCATACAAAGAAACGGAGTTACCCATCATTAGCCCTATCAGAGCTGACAGTCAAAGCTATCCGTAAAAACAACCCATAAGATAATTTGGCGTCCAATGAAAAGCGAATTGGAACCCCTGGAGTCTAGTCACGAGGAGTTTGCCGCTGTGGCTGGCGACGAATTGAGCAAGAGTACACGAAGATCTTGTCCTCAGATTGCGCCAACCGTACGGGGTAAGGCTGCAAATGCGCCTCTTATGCCCGTGTTACACGGCTGGGAGATATGGGGAGTTGTGTCTAAGAATATGGTTAGCACAGGCCGTATGACTCTCGACTACCGGCGTACGAGATCCACGGGGCGTCAAACGAGCCTCATAATTGGGCACTTCGTACTCTGGCGAAAAAAAAAAAGAAATTATTCTTGATTCAGGTTGACCACAGTCCGGAGGGTTCTCTCCTATGCTTGGAAAATCAGGGCATTAGAAAGAGCTGCCCTGTGTTTTTCCTCCTGGGTGAGCATAGATGCAATACTAGCATCACCTGGCTGAGGTCATCCCGAAACTGTTCGGCCCTGGGCTGGAGCCATCTTGTTGAGCAGAGTGAGGCTGATTCAGGTGACCAATTACCTTTCGTGTTGGCCCACACAGGCCAAAGCTTTTCTCTGGGCATGGAAAATGCAGGCCGAGACTCGGTGAGGAGGAGGAGGAGCACCGCTTGAAACACGGGTGGAGAAATCAAGCACGGCTCTTTGATGAGTTCATTCATTGGGCGACATTAGCCATGCTGCTACATGGGCAAAGAGCCGGCATTTGGTGTCTATTGGCACGACTTTCTCTCCCCTGCCCATGCTGGTGCGTCAAGCTCTGGCGTGTCATTGCGTCGAGGAACGGGGGTCTGTGAGAGAGGAGAGCCTGGCTGAGAGCCGGATGTCGACCATCTGAATCTCGGATATTGTCCATGCCGCTATGAACGAGAAAACAAAGCTTTACTCTCAGTAGATAAGAGGAAGCCGGGCATACAGGAATGCCTTACTAGATGCAGTAAGTACGAGTACATATACACATGAAGCTGGGGCTGATTTTGGTGGATTGTTGGCCTTCTTACTCGCAATTGTCCGGCCGGCAGCCGTATTTGCCGTTTCTTCTTGCGGCTGTCGGTGATTGGGCTTTGCCACCGCTCGTCTCCAATCATAGAGCAAAATCAAACCATTGAAAGCATCCATGATATTTGGTCACAGGGAGGTCTCGGTGTGGTGAGTGAGTGAGGCCGAAGTCTGGGCGATAAGGTGGAACGGAATGGGATGGTGGGGGAGTGCCGCTGCATTTTTGTCTCACCCCCCGAAGGAAGGCGCGACATGAGCTGTTCCCTGCACAGAGGTTCAATACCTAAGGCCGCTCTACAGGTACAAGTACGACAGGTACGTCCCTGCCTGGAACATGCACCAGGTTGCTTGAAAAGTACCAGGTAGCGGTACTTCTGGGTTCAATTGTTCTCTCACAGCAGGGCGTGTGCCTTAGAAAAGAGCAGAGAAGAGCAGAACCAGGTAAAAGCTCCAGGCTCTCTTCTCAGGCTTCTATTGTCGGGTACCAACACGCACATAGCGAGCAAAATAATATGGACACTGCGGCAAGGGTGGTTTCAGCTGCCTCCACGATGGCGGTGGCGTAGCTTCCAGGTCAATAGTGAGTTTAATACAGGCGTGTTGGCGCTGGAGCTATAGCGAGTAGACGTACGGGTACAAGCAACTGAAGCACCAGGTGCCGAAGAAGTACTGCGTCGCTAAGCGGTCAGCGAGTGGGAGATGCTTTGCCATACAATGTGTGCAGAGAGGGCATGAACCGGAGCCTGACCTGCTGCGGACGAGAGACCTGGAAGATACAGGCACTCAGTGCAGCTCATGCACATTCGGTACTAACACACTTATAGCGGCGTACCTTGATGGACTACTACCTCTCTCGCCCATCTTTTGATCACACGGCAGAGAGATAGATCTAGTGCCCAATAGCTCTATACTATTGTCAATATTATGATAAGTAGTGCTTGTAAGAATTAGCAGCCCAGATGCGATAGTCTGATGATCCGGTACTAAGGCCATGGCGCTAGCGGCAAGTGGACCTACGGTACCTAGAAGCGTACCTGGTTCTAAGGCCGATCGGCGAAGTGGGCTAGCGGGCCTTCCCGCCGGAATAAAGCCCAGTAGTTGCTATGAAAGCTTTATACTGGCTCTTGGTGCATTTAAAACCATTATGTGACTATGAGAAGCATATTGGAGCCGTGAAAAAAAGAAGAAGAAAAAAAACCAACAAAGTGTACCATAATCGGTCCATGCAGATAGATTGGAAATGCGCTTGACTTTCATATTTTTTACACAGCCCAGCATAAAACTTCCATTAAAAAAGCCACCAGGCTAACGCAAGCCTCATTGTCCGTGTGCTGAGACAATTCCGTCTCGACCCCGCTTATTCCCATTTCCCGGGCCTCACCACCAATTGGCGCTTCTCGATCTAGATTTCACTCACGGGGTTCTGGAGATCGTACAGAGGTACGTACCGGCTTGTACTCTCTCTTTGGGTTTTCCTGTGCCGTCTCATTCTCATCTTATATCAACAAACCTTGTCTTGTCATATGGCAAAAGTATGAAAAGCCCAAGCCCGGACTTTATCGCCGATGACCAGCGGCTTTTAGGGGGTAAGAAAAAAAAGAAGCCTTCTTTTCTCATGCGAGGGAGTGAGGAGGAGAAGAAAGAGACAGGTCTAGAGTCTTTACCTAGGTACTAGGTAGTATGGCGGCACCTCGTCTCTCCTCGTCACAAACCTCATCCGCTCATTCGTCTGCGGCCTGCATATACTCCATAGGCCCAGTTGATTACTCGAGGTATTCATACTGTACATGTATTCGCAGCTTCTGTCCAGGCTGGCCAGGGGTAGACATAAGGAGGTACCATAATGGGTAGATCTGATAGGTAGAAAGAGAGAGAGAGAGAGAACACGCCACACCCATCCCCCGGGCTTCAATCTTATGCTGTCTTGCCCGCAATTCATGTACGAGTAGCGTCAAGACGGCTTGATCATGACCATGCTAGTACACAGCCAAGGCACCCTTTCAGCCGCATCACGGCCGATACAGGCACGCGCCATCGCGTTTTCCCAGTCCCCTAGTTGGCTGTGCCCCTGCTCTGTTCATTTACCATGTTATCAAGGGCGAGCTAGAATCGCTTGGGCATGTCCCCGGCAGCAGAGCGTGCGTCCCCGGGACAGCTCAGTTTCCACTAGTCCATAGAGGAAAAAAGAAAGAAAGAGAAAGGGGGGGGATGATGCCAAAAGGGTCTCACTCGGTCAAGGTTGGCTGGCACTTGTCCAGGCATCTGGTCCATGTTCATGTAATGCTTCATGTGCATCTGGCGCGCTCGGACGCATCTTGAGGTACATAGCAGCTTATACCCTGCTAGTAGCTAAACAGGACGATCATCACCTCGCTCGCTTGATTTCAAGGCAAACATGTCGATGAACTGATATGTTGAGGCTCTGGTGGCTTGTGTTGAATGAATATAAATGAGACGTAGCTGCTGTCGTGAATTCTGTTTCCTTTCTCATCACTCCAGACCATACTGCTGTAAAGTTATCACGGATTTTTCCGATTCAACTTGCTCAACACCAACCAATTTGTCTTTCTGACTTCTCTTCCACTTAAATTCCCCATCTGGTTAGCTACTAGATCGTTCGCCATCCCCTTAGCCGTCTTCTTAGCTGCCGTGTTCGCCGCTGTCTACATCCCCGCAAGGTGTGCTTTGAGTCCTGTGGCCCGCCCTCAATCAGGTGAAGGAGCATCTACTGGCCCTGGCTTGGTTAGACCCCAATCATTGATACCATCTACCCTCCTTCGTCTAGCCTTACGGGCAGATGCTAACTCCAACTGATCGCAGAGACCATCCGTCAAAACAAGCTTCCGATCTGATACACCCTCCGTACAACTTGACACGCCTTGGCACACCTTGTCACACCTTATCCACATCTTGCCTACCCCTATATCCTTGCCAAAGCTTCTGCAAAGATGTCTAAAGAGTGGATGTCCGAGGAATGGATGTCTGAAGAATGGACGTCTGAAGAATGGACGTCTGAAGAACGGACGTCTAAAGAACGGACGTCTAAAGAACGGACGTCTGAAGAACCGATGTCTGAAGAACGTATCGTCATCTATTTAGTGAGGCGCGATCTTAGAGTTGCTGACAACCACATTCTTCACCTTCTATCTCGTCATAACATCAACGACGAATGTTCCTATACCCACCTCCTCCCTGTATACGTCCTGGACCCTGACCAGGTTGAAACATCTGGCCTCCTCAAGAATGGAGAGAGATCTCCGTACCCTCGAGCACTTTCAGAGAACTCTGGAGTCTGGAAATGCGGTCTTCATCGTGTCAAATTCCTCGCAGAAGCAATTTGGGACATGAAGGAGCGGCTGGAGGAGCTGGATAATGGACTCATCATTAGAGTCGGGCGTTTCTACGACATCTTGGAGAGTATTTACAAGCATTATTCCAGTGACAAAGGCGGTCCTCAGATTTCTAGCGTGTGGATGGCCAGAGGGCATACCCCTGAGCAGATAAGTGAACAGCAAGAGGTTTATACCGCATGCTATAACTTTGGGATCGACTATGTGAAATTTCGCGATCGTGAGCCGTTCGTCGATCTGTAAGTTGACCTATTGACGGAATTATCTTGTTGGTGTTATCAGCTTTTAACTTTTGAATCGTGGAAACAGACGCGACGCCCCTCTGCAGTCAGTAGGCGAAGTGCCTGATGTGCTCTCCGACTTTCAGAGGCTAATGGAGCCCGTGATTGATGACGCCCGCGATTCGATCGAGGCGCCTCTTTCTCTACCCCCCTTCCCAGATCATGTACCACTTCCGCCCCAGCGAGGCCCATACGAGATTCCAGACACACTACCGGAGCTTATCAGTCGGCTCCAGGGACCTGTCAGGCTTGACTTCTCGTATTTTTATGGGCTTGATTTCAGGGGCGTGATAGCGGAGTCCACTTGTATTGGTGGCGAAACACATGGCACTCGCAGACTTAAGCATATTGTCAAACAGGGCGCTGTGTCGCGATTTGACACCTTAAACGACTTGGAGGAAAGTGATGAATGTCTTAAGCTCACACCTTACCTGTCTCTTGGATGTATAACGGCTCGGCAGATTCATGAAGAACTGCTGAACCTAGAAAATGGCTACGTGCCAGAATACGCGGAGACTCAAGGTTGGGAAGGGGGCGAGAATCCGGGGACAAGGGCAGTTCGACTGTGGCTTCTTGGCAGAGACTTTCTCCTTTTAGGCTCTAGAAAGTATCGCAACACCTTGTTTGACCTCGAAGGCTCCGGTGAGGGGAGAGACCCGGAGATCGAATGGAAATCGCCCGATCCCGAGGAAGCCTGCCCTGAACAGGAACCTTGCACTCTCCATATCGAGGGGGCTCTCGTGCAGTTCCAAGTAGGAGCCACGGGATACGGGCTCATTGACGCAATCATGCGGCAACTCCTTTTCACTGGGTACATTGGGGCCCAATCGTTTATGCTTATTGCCAACTTTCTTGCAAAGTTTGCTGGTATCGACTGGAGAATAGGCGCGGAGTGGGTAGCTTCCCTATGTTTAGATCACAACAATCCTATCCAGTGGTTCAGATGGCAACAATATGCCGGGATTGGTCCTGACCTGAACGGCAGAGATACGGTCATCTCTCCTGTCCACACAGCCTTCGAGCTCGACCCCAACGGAACCTTCGTCCGGAAGTGGATGCCCGAGTTGCGTAGTCTCACCAGGCTATCGAACCTTTTTCAAGTAGCCACCACCTCTCCAGAGCTGTTGCTGCGGCTCGGTTTGTTCGCTAATGTCATGGTAACCAACCCGGTGCCTTCTGACACCCTCGATCTTGGTCCTACGAGCCAAGTTCCTTGTGGATGGATGCACCCCAGGATATTTGTTCCTAGTCCTCAGGGGTATATGCTTCTTGGACCGTATCCCAGGTTTCTCCGGATGCAGCTGGACATTGATCCGATATATTCACAGCTCCAGTCAATTACTTACCCACCAACGCCCCAGGGGCTTCCACATCCTCCACCCGGATATCTCTGGTTTCCTGTCCCAGGTACCCAACCACCTAATCTACAATATTATCTTGCACCGCATCCCCAAGTTCTTCAAACTCTTGAACAGCCACTTGCCTGGTTTTTTCGCTTCATCATCATCTTGAGGATACTTTTTGAGCAATCAGGGACGCGTACGACGAGAGCTCAGATGCCTCCTCAACAGGGTACGCAAATGCCTCCTCAACGGGGCACGCAGGCGCCTAATGCTCGAGACGAAGAGCCTGCTCTTCACGATGCTCCCAGAGCCCCAGCCCCAAGGACAATGAGTGTCTCTACTGAAGTTCATAGAGCTCCTCAGGACAATCAAAGCATTCAAGCCCCTCGACGGACCCAAAGCCTTGCCGCGCCTCAGGGCCGTCTTGGCGTTGCTCAAGAGACGTTTGAGGCACCACAAGCACCTCGTGTGGAGTCTCGGGCACCACAAGCCCCTAGAAACGCTCCAAATGCTCCCCGAGCAGAATTCCAGCCTTTGCAGGCCCCTCGAAACGCTCCGAATGCTCCTCGCGCGCATACTCGGCCAAATCAAGCACCCCGAAATGCCCCCAATGTCCCTCAGGCATATATTCAACGGTCCCAAGTTCGTCAAAGCAATCCTACAGCAACTGTTCGGCCATCTCGAGGTTCTCAAGCGGCTCCTCCACATGCCCCTCAAGGTCCTCGAACTGGTTTTGAGCCGCCTCGAGCTCATCTACATGCTCCAAGAGCACCGCGAGCAGATTATCAACCATACATTGCTCCTCAAAACGCTCCTGGAGCCTCCCGGGCGCAGTATCTGCCCTATCAGTCCTATCAAACCTATCAAGTCCCTACAAATATTTACATGCCTCACGCGCCTCGAGCTGATCCTTGGCCCACTCAAGCCCCTCAAATGGCTCCCAGAGCTCCTCACACCATGCAAAGTCCTCCAACTACACCTCCCCAGAGTCCACCAGCTTTCAACGATCCTCGGGCTCCTGGGTTTCCAGAGCTGTCCTCTCTAGCTGGTGAACTGGATGCAGCTTCTCGCTATGGTTTTCAACAATACTACAACGCACCAAGCGATCCTCTTGTCCCAACCTTTTATGGGCTGAATACATTTAGTTTCAACCACCCCAGCACCGTTCAGCCGATAGACGGAGTGGCATACCATCAAACGCTACAAGACTATCATCAGTGGCGTACCTCGAATCCAGCGCTTAATGCCTTTTACATTGGACCTCCTGAGCCCGAAGAAGTGCTTCGGCATGGCATGATTCTTCGATTTCTTGACAGCCTGCCCCCCACTCCACCCAATCCCGCGTTTCCCCCAGATCCCCCTCGGCTCCTTCGCAGAACTCGTCGTCGACGTCCGACGCGAAGTTCTGCTGACGAATATGGCTCTTCCAGCATGGCTGGTCCCTCTGAGGAGGTGGCGCCTGCTGAGGATGCGGCTCAGGGCAATGCCGAGTCTGCTCAGGGCGGACAAGGCAAGCGGAACAGGCGTGGTAGACGAGGTAGACGTGGCAAGGGGGGAGGGAAGAGTGAAGAGAATACCGCAACCGAAGAAGTTGAAGGTGAGTTGACCGAGGAAGAAGCTCTGGATGAGTTGACTGAAGAAAATGAGGGTGAATTGACTGAGGAAGTTCTGGGTGAGGTGGCCGAGGAAGCTCAGGGTCGGACGACTGAGGAAGTTTGGGATGAATTGACTGAAGAAATTCAGGAGTTGAACGGGGAAGACGTTCAAGTTGGTCCTTCTAGCCAGCTGGACTAACAAAGATAACACAGATTGTTTAACAACGTCCGAAAGAGGACGTTTGGAGTTATGAAGGCACACGGTGGAAAGGGTCCCGGTTTGCAAAAGTTCGTACAAACTAGTATTATTAGCCATGAATCATTACAGACATTTCTTAAAGAGTATCTCTAGTCTAAGTTGCCATCTTCTTTTCTCCTCTGTGACTCTCTAGTAGGCCTAAGCTACTCTTGATTTTTCCACTTGTTTCTATTTGTTTTCTCTTTCTCTGTTATACTTCATCGTGATGCCATATTAATTTATACGGGAGGTAAAATGGCGGTCAGTAACAGTCTTTGGCTGGAAAAGCAATGCTTTGTACTTTCATAGATAGCAGCACAGTATAATCGGGAGGTCGGTATAGCGTGTATTTTCCAACCTGGTTGTCTCAGCCTGACAGCTGATAATATTGCGCGGCTTGAACTCCCATGTCTTTGGTGTAATCACACCCTCTCTGTCTCACTTACGCAGAGGCAGCACTCGCCTCCCCACTTCGCTCCTCTCTTTCAGCTGCGTGCTTCTCGTGATTCTGAAAGACTGCAAGCATGCCCAGATCATAGGTCGCCTTGAGACACCCGGCTGTGACGAAGGCGACCCAAAACAGGCCGTGATCTGCCAAGGTACCAGTCAAGAAGGGGCCTAGGCTGGCACCGGTTGTCTTGACCACGTTGATGACGCCCATGATGGCAGTGCGCTCGCTTGGCTTGATGACGGCGGCTAGGAAGGCCGCCCGCGGTGCGACATCCATGCTCTGGCTGGAGGCGCGGAGCCATAGGAACAGCAGGGAGAGGCGCACGTCGGGGAAGGCGGGTATGAGCGAGAGGAAAATGGACGAGGGCAGATGCGTAAATACCATGGTCTAATTGGATGTCAGTGGTTAGTTGAAAATTGCGGCCGAAGTGTACAAGGTTGCGGCAGAAGGGAAATTAACGTACCTTGATGTTGCCGAACCGCTTGGCCAGGGAGGAGGCCACAAGCATTGACAGAGCCGAGGTGATGCTAGTAACGAAGAAGATGGAGCCGAGCTTGCCCTCTTCGATGCCATAACGCCAGCGGAAGAAGTAAGTCACCCAGGACCTAAGCATGAGTTTGCCATTGATTAGTCTGTGAAACCAGGGAGAAGGTGGAAGAGAAGTCTTACATGGAAGCCAACCCAGAGGCAAACGCATCCAATGCGAAAAAGACACACAGGCTCGTCATGATAGCGTAGCCTTCTTTGCTGATATCAGGCAGAAGAGCTCCAACTCGGCCGCGAGACTTTCGCTCTTCGTCTGCTTGTGGGCTCGCATTTCCACTACCCAAGAGAGGCGATGTCTCGGTGTTGTCGCCCGCTCCATTGGATTTAATCGTCGCTTTGGCAGAGGAAGCCTTTTCATCTGCCTCTACCGCGCTGCTCAAAAGAAGAGCAAGAGACAACTTCACCAGGCCCGCAACAGCATAGCCATAGAAGATGAAACGATAGGCGTCGATCAGTTCCCAGTGGAGGACGGTGGAAACATACTGCACAGCCCATCCGCCGGTCATGAGTCCAAATGCTGTCCCAGCCGTGCCAAGCAGGCTGTACCAAGCGTAGACGTCGCTTCTCGAGGCCGGCTCCGTGAGGTGGGCGACAACGCTCTCCTCGATGGCTCGAAACGGACCAATCTCGTTGCCACTACAAAGATTTAATGCCACCTGGTTAACGCCGATATTCCCCCAAAATATCATTGGGCTGCTGCGCTGTACATGCACATGAAGCTGCATGCATGGCAACAGCGCTGCATGGGACAGCGCAATGCAAAAGCACAAACAGCGCAGGATGCATCTGCATCTGCATTTGCATTTGCAGAGTAACATATTACATACCTCGGACTAATGACCCCAAAGATTGCAGCCGCCAGCAAAACCCAGTAGTTGTCGCTCACGGCAAATGCGACGCCGCTGCCCACCATCATGAGGGCGCCCAATGCGAGAATCGCCTTTCTCCCCAGCCCGTCGGCCACCAGAGTGAGGCAGAAGCTGATGCAAACATCGCCCACCAGCGTCAGCGTCATGAGCAGGCCGATCCGGGTCTTAGAGATGCCGAGCGACTGGAGGTAGAGCACCAGGACGAGCGTGGATGCGCCATAGGCGAAGAGGCGGACGAATCGCTGCAGACAGAGAAGCTTGACGTCGGGCTTGCTGTGGTAGAGAGAAACGAGGCCCAGTTCGGAGAGGAACCGGACAAGGAGAGATGGTGATTCCTCCATTGTGAGTCCTTTTCTCGTCTTTGTCTTTCCAATTCCCTTTGTCCTTTTTGTTTGATTTTTACCGTTTCATTTTCAATCTTTTCAGCCTCTTTTTTCTACTCTGGGTGCGCCGACGGTTCTTTATAAAGCAGTGAGTTGCAAAAACATGACCAGAGCAAGTTTCGCCCCCCACTGAACAAGTGAACTTAAGGCTTCACCTAATCACAGTACAGGTGGAAGTACCTCGGTGATAATGGCATAATCCGAGACCAACATCTCCATACAGCGTTGCCGATTTCCGGTTCACAATCACCCATTTGAGGGCTGCTATTAGGCAATACCGAGCGAGGATGGAAACGGATAGATTCAAGGCCGGTGCCAAGATGATAATAATGCTGCCGAGTGCAGTTTTGTATGGCGTCTAGTGAAAAGGTACCCGAGCATCCATGTCATCATCGGCGTTGACGCCACTTGACGGCAACTGGGAATACTAATCATCTCACGCGAGTGCTACAAACACCATGAATTCTATTTGATCTACCTATTAACTGTCAATACAAGAGAGCGCGCTGTACTCTGTAAATCTGGCATATTACACCTCAACTCCTGGTATCATGGGATTTAGTACGTACTGGTTGGCAGGTACTGGTTCAGCACCTTCTGGCATCAGCTCCTTCTGGCATCGACCTTCTGACGTGCACCTTTTAGCACCCAAGCACCTTCCATCGGACCTGGAACCTGAACTGTGCCTGCACCACTCTTGCCATTATAACTGCCCCACCATCACTTTCCATTACTGTAGGTACCTCTGTACCTAAGTGGACTCGCGGTGGCTCAGATCCGCAAATCTCGCTACCGGTTGCTCTTTGCACTCAACTCTCAATTATGGTAGGCGCGAAGGCGGAGAGGCGATTAGCTGCCGCGGTGCAGTGCCGGGGGAAGGCGCCCATGTCGTACAAGTGTCCATTCAGCTTCAGCTTCCAGCCGCTGGGCCAATCTCTGCTTTGCTTTTGCTTCCAAGTTTGGATTGATTGCTCTTGCTTTTTCTTGCATACGAGTACGATTGAATGCATGTGCGTGCATACGCCTGTTCTTTCCTCCTCCAACTTAGAAGCATGCACAGATGCTATTGGATAGTTGGTGGGCGTGTGAGTAAAATGACGGAGGCTCGAAAACACTCCCCCCTTCCATCCAGTGTTTTCTCTCAATCTTTCCTCCAAGACCTCCCCATGTAGGTAGCAGTACTTGGGCCATCGGATACGACAATACAGTAGCAATCACACGGAGACGGCTCTGTCTCATTTGCTACGTCCATGCTTAGGTACATGTACTATATGCATCTGCTATGCCGGTGTTTGCTGGTGCGCACTCGGTGTGACAAAATATGGGAGAGCGTGCGCCAATGGCATCAGCCGCAACACCAGCTGATGGCCTCAACGTCCTCTGTTGTGTTTTCCTGCCATTGGGCTTTATACGATTGATCCAATTTGTCCCTTTACGCTGACGGAGCAGAGCAGCCCCCCCTCCAGGCTCAAGGATCAATGCAAGGGAGAGCAAACTGGGCTGTTCTTTTGGGGTCGGGAGAGTAGTTTGCGACATCTCATTCGCGTGCTTTCTTTTTTTGCAACTCGCTAGGCTCATGTATGAAGCAGCCGATATGCACACTACTATGTAGCTTGAATCCTCCCAAGACAAGTGAGCTGTAGGGGACCGAGAGTAACTTCATAGGCCTGTAAATCAAGTCCAGTGGTGGTTTGCTGGTGGACTATTGGGCAATAAAGTGCTGTAGCATAGGTAGCTTCACAGCTGGCAGCAGGCTGGCTGGCACTTCTCCCGGGTCATTTAGTCCCCGATTCCTCTCCTCCCCATCCTCCTCCTCCTCTTTTTTCCTCCTTCCTCATATCTTCTCTTCTTCTTCTTCACCATCTCTCCACCAAAGAGCTGAGTTGACGGGTGACGATCCCACCAAAAACTCACTCGTCATCTGTCTCTCGTTAAACCAATCCTTCTTCAAGCAATATTGCGCATCTTTGATATTTCTGCATTCTCCCCCTTTTCATCTTCCCTTGGGGCATGGTACTCGTCAATATCCAAAAATGTCTGACAACGTACCAACCGACTTGGCCTTGTCCATCGCCAGTTGCACTACCCACGTTGAGGAAGATGCGCAGCAACGAGCCTTGTGGGCTATTCCTGAAGAAGAGCCCAACAATGTGACTCGTGAGCCTCTCCAGCAACAGGAAGAGGATGGCAAGCTGCAAAATCTACGTCAATATCTTGCGTCATGCCACAATATGAATCGAGCAGCGCAGACCATTAACGGCGATTCGTGCTGTTCGCAAGCTACCACACTTCAACCCGAGGGTAAACTGTATCCTGCAGAAATTGCTTTGTCTCCTGATTTCATGGACAAGCAAATGGAGGTCTGGAAGGTGGTGCTGGCAGACGACAACTCAGCCCTCTTGCAGAAGATGTTCCCTTCAATGGAACAAGTGCACGATGAATATTTCTCCATGGAGCCCATCAACGGCCACCCGACACTCTGCGTGTTTGAGCGACTGGGTATATCCAAGGCCGTCATGAACCTGCTTCACGGAGTTTTGGACGACCAAGACCTCAGCAAAGCCGTTGGTCTCACCGGAGACATAACGTACGGCCTTCTTGACGAAGATGATAATGATTCAGACGTTGAAGACGATGAACATTGCAGCTTCTGTGTCTACTCCAACACCGAGTGTGGTCGACCTTTTCCTGTTGTCGGAATGGAGTACAGGCCAACTGATCCACCCATGGTGCAAGAGATTGCCACGGCCCTGGTTGATGATATTATTCCGGAGCGCGATGTTATTGGAAGAGAGGATGACACATTCACCTTTGTGTCGTCATCCAAGCAGGTCGTTACTGCTACCATTACTCAACTCTTTGACCGCATGGTGAAGTCGGGTGTGCCGTACGGCTACATCTACACGGGAGACGCCATCATCTTTCTGGAGATTCATGACGACGACCCGTCTATCGTGCACTACTATGTCAGCATCCCCGACATTGACGTCTGTGATGAAGACGAATCAACTCTGCGCTACTCTGCTGTCGGTCAAATCTTTGCATTCATAATCAGAGCGATGCAAGCGGAACCCCGTTCTGTGCAGTGGCACGACAGAACCGCAAACGTTGATGTTTGGAGGAGCAGCCGCAGCGAGGCATTGCTCAACATGACGTCGTATCAGAGCGCACCAGGCTCCTCAAGCGCTACTAGCGTTGGTGATGAGGTGATGAATGATGTCGACGCAGAGTACGAACAGGTCGGTGAAGACAACGAAGAGGATGAAAACGACGAAAACAACAATCAGGATGACGAGGACGAGTATGAAGAGTATGACGATTACTACCTCGACATTGACGAGGACATGTACGTGGCCGTTGACATTAATCTCGTATGGGGACAAGATGGGGAACTTGTTCCCCAGAGAGACGAAGATCAACAATACGCATGCCAGGATGGAGAAGAAGGCTTCGTCGACGATGGCAAACAAACCTATTGGTTTGTAGATGGCGAGGTCATTGTTAGTGACATTCGACAGCGCCAATACTGCACCCAAGAGTGCCTGCTTGGTTTGACCAATGGCTCAGCTCTTGACCAAGCTTGCCCCAATGTCGAAAAGCACGGAGATGAACACATCAGCAACCTTGAGTTTCTCCGACTGGTTCAGAGCCAGCTTGCCCGCACTCGTCACGTATCTGGCTGCTGCGTCTCACTTGACTTGAAAGGCTCCCTGGGAGCCATGTTCAAGGTCATGATTCCATCCCACGGTTACACGTTCGTTGCCAAGGGTGTCACGGAAGGAAACGTGCCCCGTCTGTTGCGCGAAGGAGACACGTACACTCGGCTCAGGGACGTCCAAGGAGGTTGCGTCCCCGTTTATCTCGGCATTGTTCAGCTTGAAGCGGCTTTTGACCACGATAGCGCCGCTTACAGCCACTTCATGCTTCTCAGCTGGGCCGGTCGGCCTGTGGAAAAGCTCAAGGAATCCCAGGCAAGCTACGGATTTGTCAATTCTACACGCAGGGCTTACACGGAACTGCACAATGCCGGTCTGGTTCACAACGACGCAGACTTGGGAAACATGCTCTACAATCCTCAGCTTGATAGAATCATGCTTGTGGACTTTGAGCACGCATCCATCTACGAATGCCACGTCGCAGAGTTTGAGTACCGCGATACCAGCCGCAGCCACTGTGCCACTATCGAGGAGGTGGAAGACGAAGAGGCTGGTGGCAGTAGCGACAACAAGAGTGACGATGATGACGGCTTCGCCCACATCCATAACCACACCCCCGGCCACAGCCACAGCGGTGGCCTCAGACGAGTCAACAGGTGCGAGAATCTGCGAAGGGAGTTTGAGGCCGCGTCTGAGCGAGAGATGAACCGTGCAGTCAATCTGATGGAGATCCTCGCTCCCACGCTGCGCCCGTGGCAGATCGTTTAGGTTGGAAATTTCGGCAGACATGTCTGGGAAAATCTCGAGCGAAAATTCGGCACGGAACATCGGAGCAAGTGGTAGTGGGTTACGGTTTGTCATTGGCGAGTTCGGAGCCGGACGCTGGGATTTCAAATGTGGACGGTCATTTTTCTCAAGGGTTTTACAAAGGCAGAGAGAGAGAGAGAGTTACGGCTTTATTCCATGTACTTCAAGTTTGCTTGGCGGATTTACAGATTGGATGGGTGCCCTGGTAGGTTTTATCTTCAAGCAGTTGCTAGATTACCTCAGTAGTAGTAGGGACCTATAGTAGTAGTACATGGAGCCTCTCCTTATTCGCTTATTTTCGCTTTCCGCTCTTGGTGTTTTATGGTGTGATGTTGAGTCATCGAATAGCAAGAGGTGAACATCCAAATTTGTTGTTTGTGGTGTCAAAAAGGCGAGTTGGCCAGCATCATTCAATCGCCGAACCACCGAGACCATACTCGGAATTAAACCTCTGCTCTCATCCTGCTCCACCACCATTTCAAAAGGCCCTCTCAGCCTTGTCGGACGATAGTTTTCGTCTGCTATCCGATGGGAAACTCCCTATATGAGAGATCATCGCCGTTCCTATTCCGTAAGGGCACCACTCGGTCGAAGTTGAGGTTGAGGTCCAGATGGGTAGAAAGCAGAGGTGGGGCGACACGATGCTTTATGGCTGCTTTTGTGAGTGCGTCACCCAGATTTGTGTACCCGGAATTGACCATCATTCGTCCATTGCCTACTAGGTATTTATGTTTTGGGGCCACAGGTCGATGTCGGATTGGTGCCAGCGGGTTTAAGGTTAAGTGATGTGTTCTTTGTTCAGTTGGTGGGCACTGAATTCTCGTGACAGAATGTGAACAGACAGGTGGTCTTTTTAACAGCAGGATCTCCTGGAAGAGAACTGGCATAAACGGGCGTATCAAATAGCCTTTGTGTTTTGTTTGAATCTCCCTTAGATATACCATGATGAAACAAAGGAGGAATTATATAGTGCATCTGATGCTGTTGTGTAGCATATTGCAGGTAGAAATCTATCACCGGTGTACATACATTCTGCCAACTACTACAACACAACATATCATGGATGAGATACATAGAGAAAATAATCAATAAAAAATCAAAAATTCTATGTAATGTAGTTTTTTATATTTATCTGGACATCTGGATTAATATCCCGGAAGAGCGTAATCTTAACTGGCACTTCAAACTCCTCATGGACTGCACCTAGCTGAGCCCACTATGTGTATCCCATCAGTGGTACCCCGCTGTAAGTCAAATGCTGCGCACTCCATCATTAGCATTTTAAATCAACCCTTTTGTCCGGGTCTCTTTTGTAAGAGAATTATTCGGCATCTTCATTCATTTAATGTGATTGTATTCTAATGGATTTACAATGAAGAATTTGACAATTGGCGTGCCTTTTACAAGGTCGAAGGGCAGGCTCTTGTTCAAGTACCAATGTTGCGTTCAGCCGCACATTCTTTCCCTCTGGCCATTTTTGCACATCTAAACAAATCCTACATACTGATAAAAAAACATCGCCCATACATGGCTTGTCCAACCGCCAGCTTTGAATATCATTTGTCCTAATAACCTCTCAAACCGGCGACTGGTTTCCTTCCAGCTTCCCTCAACGATCGCCTACCATTACCAACAGCAAACATTGTCTAGTTGTGGCGTGGCAGCCTCCAAGCAGCACTGGGAAGCTATGATGCAGCTTCAACTACTCCAGCTGATACGAAAATCACAAGGCAATCACGCCAAAATGAAAAGAAAGCCGACTAGGATCCAATCGAGATGAAACATTCTCCTCCTCCGAATGCATGAATGCCTTGCAAGGCGAGTCTCTTCTATCGTGCCACGCATGTGCCAACGCGTCCAAGAGCGGGGGCAAGCCATCTCGAGCCCATTTGCTGCAATCCTCCCGAGCGGCGAATTGGAGGCAAGTAAGCAAATGCTGCCTGGTCGCGCCTTCGCCTTGTTTCGTCGTTTCTTAAAAGCAAACTCCACTAGAGCCTGGTTTGCCGTCATGTCATCTTGGGAAGCGGGCGATCTTTGGTCTACTAAGGTCAAATCTTTTTTCAACTCGTAGAGACTCAAGGTCAACCAGAAGCCATCATCAATCTTCTGCATCGAAATTCACCATGGTTCGAGTTCAGAAGCTTACGCCCGAAGTTCTGCTGAGCGACCCAAGGCGTGGCCCGGCCGTTCCAAATAGAGACGGGACTCATGCACTCTACACAGTGTCAGCACACGTCCTCGGTGACAAAACTACCCATGAAGTCCGGATTCTCGACATCAAGACGGGAAACTCCACCCGGCTTTCTAATGATCCTCGAGTCCATGATGCCGTGTGGATTCCCGGCACAGAGCTTGACATCCTCTACCTGCGGTCGGCAGAAAAGGGCCGAACCCAGGTCATGGTGGCATCTGCTGGAGATGTGTCCGCCGAGCACTACATGGCGGCAGAAATCGACGCCCCCGTGTCAAACCTGAAGCTCAAAGAGCTGGCTGATGGAAGCGTCGCCTTTGTAGTCACAGGTCTGGTTGGTGACTCTGGGCTGTACAACCAAGAGGCTGTCCAGAGGGGATCAACAGCAAGGATTTACGACGCTGAAATCCCCATTGTAGGTCAACACTAACATCCTGGTGGCGCTCTTTTATCTACTTTCTTAAACCGTTGCTCCTTTATACTAACCATTTTATGCAGTGGAATGCCTCACGTAGACCAAATAGATGCAGTCTCTGGTACAACGAGCTTGTCCTCCGCGACCACCACTGGACGCTTCAAGGGGAGCTCCATAACCTGATTGACGATATAGATTTGGAGGCTCCATCTCGCACGTATACCGATGTGCCCTGCAACGACTTTGATATTTGCCGTGGCGGGATTGCTTTTGCTGCGAGAAACCTGAGAGAGCGAGGGCCAGACGGAAGCCCTGCCACTTCCATTTACTTTGCGTCTCTGCACTCATTCTCTTTGCCGCCATATGGAATGCCCAGACAAATTTTTATACCCACTACCTTTGAACCTGCTTTGATAACAAACGTCCGATTTACCCCAAACTCGTCAAGCATCGGCTTTCTCTACACAGCCCATGAAGACCCCTACAACACTCGGCTGTTTTTGTCTTCCGTCTCCTCGCTGGACGCTTTTGATGTCTTCGACCTCGTGACTTGCGCCGATGATGAGGATCAAAACCCACCAAGGGCCTTTGAGTTTGCCGGTAGTTCCGACTCTGTGATTTTGCGAAGCCACCAGCTGGGTCACGAAACCCTTTCCCTCCTCATGCTGGAGGACGGGGCCAAGCCGAGCGTTTTCTTCACCGGCAGCAGCTGTAATGCCTTTTATCCGTTGACAGAGGGAGGCTGGGACTTTCTCCTAACAACGTCGTCCAGTTTTGTTGACAGTAGCCTGTGGCAGATTGTCCAAGTTTCGGAAGCCAATGTCGTGAGGACAATCTCTTCAGCAACCAAGAGCGGTGCCAAATTTGGTCTTTCCTCCGATATGGTGACCGAGATCTGGTGCGAGGGTGCAAACCGGCACTTTATTCACTGTTGGATGATTCGGCCGCGAGATTTTGACGAGACCAAAGAGTATCCTTGGGTTCTGATGCCTAATGGTAGCCCGGCCATGGCTTGGAATAATGAATGGTCCACGACGGTATGTGTGACTGCATCGCTGGTAATCTGATCAGTTGTATGCTGACCTTTTTCTGCTAGAACAACTTTGCTGCTTGGGCGTCGCAAGACTACATCATTATCCTTCCCAGCATTGCTGGTAGTAGCGGGTACGGGCTAGAGTTTACGAGACGTACGTTAATCATTGTCCCAGCTATGATAGGGGGGTGTGGCTCGGTGGTTACTAATTAAAATCGTTTTCGCACAGGCATTCGTAATCAAGGAGGAGACGAGCCGTTTCAAGATCTCCTCAGCCTCATCGACGATCTAGAAAATGTGCCGTATCTTGACAAGGCAAAGGCCGCGGTGGTGGGAAGCAGCAGTGCCACATATCTTGTGAATAAGCTGTTGGGACACGAAGTTGCCAAAAAGGTTAGAATAACAAACGATCTCAATCAAACACTCGGTTTTGGCCAGATTCAGACTGACTTTGTTGATCCAGTTTTGTTGCGCAGTCTACCAAAGCGGTACGATCGATCCCCCGGTGACCTCGTCGCATAAAGAGCCCATCTTTGACAACTTTGACAAACTCGATCCATCATACCAATACACGGAATCAGAGATGATTTATGAGAACGACATGGCCCGATCAACCTTTTTCTATGGCTGGAAAAATGCGCCGCCAACCCTCATTATCCACGGAGAGAAAGATAAACAATGCTCGATTACAGAGGCGTTGACGGCATTCAACTCGTTGCAGGCCCAGGGCGTCCCCAGTCGGTTATTGACCTTTCCAGACGAAGGCCATGTTGCTACGAAACCAGAAAACACCGTCATGTGGTATGATGTCGTCTTCGATTGGGTCAAGAGATGTGTCGATGGCGACGTTGGGAGGGAGGATATTTTCTAAATGGCAATTTGGTTAATTGCTTGATCGTGTTTTGAAGCTACCAAGTAGGGGGTTTCACTCCCGTATCAATCAGGCACTGCATAGCTAGCTTAGTGTTCTTGCTTCCTTTCATCTGTTGTCTTATTTTCTTTGAGTATGTATGAGCTGGAAATACTGTTTTTTCAACGTCTCAATCGGAGAGACCCAGCTGTCAAGCGAACTTGCAATGCTTTGTTTATTTTACTTACAATCTTTGCTTTTTACATCTTTGCATCAAACAATGACTCCAGATTGACCCTCGCGATGTTACCATGCTACACTAGAGATCATATTGCCTATCTTTGTCCTCGATAGGAAAGTCACTTCCTGTTGTGTCCTTGTACTTGTCACGAATAAAATCCGAGATGGCCTCATCTTTGGCCTGCTCCGCCGCCGACTCGTTGCTCTGATCGCCCTGGCCCATAAACTTTTCTTGCACAAAATCGACAGCTAAAGGGCACCATATTAGCGGATGAACAATGGTTAAGAATCAAGTGTAAGGTGGCTGACCCTTGTCGAGCATATCTTCATTCTTCTCGCCTTGAGCTCCTCCGCCAGCCATGCTGTTCATCTTGTCCATGAAGCCGCCGCTGTTCCCTTCTTGGTTGGCGTTGTTCGTATCAAAACCCTCTGAGCGGCGGTCTTGTGAGTTATTCTCCACATCATTTCCAGAGCCAGTCAACTTGTTTATGTAGTCCATGGTAGATATGAGGTTGGTGGGATGGGTCTTTCAGTGGTGGAAAGAGCAGCAGAGGCGTTGCGGGGTAGAGACAATGAGGCTCAAAATATGCCGTCCTTTTTTCTATTGACTTTGTAGATGGAGTAGTTGTAATCCCGATTCAAATGGGAAAATGGCCGGAGATGAGAATTGGGTTGAATTAAAGATGCCGCCAAGCTGCAAACATATAGCAATTTCCGTGTTACCGGAAAGCACAGAGCATCACGTCACAGACGTCATACATACGACGCTGCTGATCACTTGCCACCGCTTAGGATCTGACCTTGTTCGATGATTTGCAGATTCCGGATCATAGCCTCGATTTCGCAAACAAGGGAGCTAATGAATTGTCAAGATCAGAACTTTGGCAAGACTACAAGCACAAGAAAGTGCCCGGATAACTTGGCGCCACGTGTGGGATGGCGATTTGCTTTGCAGAGATCACGATGCCTTCGCCCGCTTTTTAGTCGAGCTTGTTTTTCCCAGCTGCGATGGTACGACTAGCGTCTCTTTTCCAACCTCTCCTCCTCTTTCCCCACCTCTCCCGTCTGCCGTATTTTTTTCAATTCCTTTTTGACTATCTACACGTTCTGGAGATTGACGGAAAAGTAGTGGATGATCTGCTAACAAGAGGCATATAGCAGCTGCCACGAAAATTCCTCTCGACCCAGACTCAGCTCCAAGGATTCGCAAAGGAAGAGCACAGACAACCTTGTTTCCTTTGCCAATACCGATGCATGGCTAATCACAGAGTAGCATTCTAGATCAATAGCTTGGCAGCTTATCTTGTCTTTTCAAACCCCCCTGCTTCCATCTAAGCCGCTGTCAGATGATCATTTCGGCTTAACAGCAGCATATTACTCCTCCCATCCGCCAAGCTTCGACGACTGCATTTCTTACGTTTTTATCAATCTTTTCAACAGGGCCGGACTTCTCGTGCAAGTAAGCTTCCAAGCTATTGAAGCCCCGCGAAAACCACGTTTTTCTCTTTCATTTTCTCGGTCAAGCTGGTCCCGAGGCAAAGCAGCTGAAAATCATTCGGTCCAAGCCGACTACTGCAGCTAGCTTCTTGCTACTTCTCTTAGCAACGAGTTGGTATGATTAAGACAGCCAGACCATCGCAACTTGCTCCCCGCAGCGGTCTAGGCCTCCAACCCGAGGCGGGCTGACGGCCCCAAAACGGAGAAGCTGTCTTGGCTCAACGCAGCTAGCCTCTTGATAGAATCCCCCGGTCCCCTTTTCTTCCAGAATACGGAGGGTGGCTAAACGGAATTTTACTGGCCAACGATCCGCTATTAATGAGTTGTTTCAGACCTTTTGATGATTGTAATGCTACGACGTTTTAAGGATGATATGCTAACGGGGTCGCTGCTAGTAGTGTCTCTCCTTGGCTCTCTGTTGGTCGAAAGCCCGACTAGCTAATGCTAATCCCAATCTTTGAATACGCAAAAGGCCTTTCCCATACGAGAGGTCGCCGATGTATCCACAACATCAATGCTATGTAATTGTTCCTTTGTGCGAGTAGAGAAAACGGAGTATCCGCTAGTCCAGCTCAACTACCGCTTCTCCCTCTCCACATTCCAGCGGCTCACATGAATCGCGTCACCGTCGGCTAAACCTTTTTGCCCCCTTCGTTTTCTTCCATTAAAGACGGAGAAGATCAAGAGCAATGCCAGCAGTGGGTTGAACGGAATGGGACGCAGGCGGGCCGTTTGTATTGGATGGACCTTTGATGGACCCTTTTCCCACGGTAGAGTCCACTGGAAGCATCCAAAGAAGCAGCTCATGCATGCAGGTACGTAAAGAGCTAGCTAGCAGCAACAGCGTACTGGAGCCAATTACCGTCTTCCTTTGCTCTGAGGCTCTGCTCAGCTGAAAACATGACGGCAGCAGCAGTTCCCCACGAACGGTCCGACTCCGAAACTGCGGGTGGTCAGATAGTCTGCGTGAAATATTGAGAGTGTCATCATACAGCCAAATCACTTGTCATCATCTCGAGGCATCTTCAGAGCTTACAGCTGGGCTAGGCTCTTGGAGATGGGTTGTATTTCCCGTAGTACGTAGACCGCAAAGTCCAAAAAATTGTGCTTGCTATATTACATTTCTCATTAAGGCCGCCCTGAGGGTATAGCTTCCACAAGCTCATAGCAAATTCGAGCCGCCAAAGATGCGTTGTACATAAATAGGTATCTTATAACAGGGGATAAAAATCATTCATCATCTTCTTCTTTTCTTCACATGTGTCGTGCGCTGATTGCGTCCCTTTCTGTGCTGTTGACCGAGGGACTGGCGCTGGCAGCGGGATCGGGGAATCGAATATCTCGTTCCTTGTCGTCTTCCATTTCCACCACAACAGTCGTAACCAGATCCATCTGGATGCCAGGGCCTCGTAACGACTCTTGGCTGGATCCTCGCGGTCGTCTCCGCTTCTCCTGTCTCATGCTGCTAGAGCGTCCGGCCAGACGTTGCCAGGACCACCATCCACCAGTAGTTTTGGGCTCCACGCTTCGTCTTGACCCTTCGCCACCCTGAATCCAAACCATGTTGCCGTAACGTCGAGACTTTGGTGTTTGCAAGAAGGCGATTGTCTTCACGCCCGTATCTGCCACATCAAGGTCGTACTTAGAGGCAAAGATGATGGAGTGTCGAGTTGTACCAAACAAGAGGCAGTCGAAGAAGCCGTTCAGGGAGATGAGTGCACCAGCAAAGCAGAAGAGTCCCAGCGGGATATTAGCCCCAGACATAGATGCCACACGCTCCGTAGCCAGCGGTAGCGTACAAGTGACATAGATGATTGGGTAGATGAGGAATGCGGGATTGTGATCACCCGCAAAGCCAGGATCCGATGTACTGTCCGGGTTGGCAGCTCGGCGACGAAGGGCTTGCTGACGAAGAGAGTAGTAGATTGCAACGTAGAGGCCAGTGGTGATGCCAAGGGCCAGGAAAATCCAGAGATAGTGGGTAAAGAGACGGATATTCTCATACTCGGCGTTTATCCAGCACTAGAAGCACATGTCCATGTTAGCAATTACAAACATTAGGCAGCTAGTAAGAGGGGGAGGGGGAGGCGAAGTGAAGCAAGAATAAGAAGAGTTGTTTGTTTAAACGTACCCAGGCACCAGCTCGAACAAAAAAGCCGCCATGCTCGCGGCCGTTGTTCGTAATGGCGATTGGCAGCGTCGAGATGAAATACACAAACAGCCACACAAGGCCAATGGACATGTACAGCGTCCTCTGTGACGGTCGATATCCCTTGACCACGGAAAAGAAGGTGTGTACGGCAATGAGAGTGATAAACATGCTCGAGGACAAATCTCCCGTTGAGACAAAGAAGCCCTGTGCCCAGCACGTTTTGGTGTCCACCAGGACGGCGTTTCGGTTGATCCATGTGGAGTTGAGGGCAAAGGCAATCGACTGATGCAAATCGGCAACGAGAAGGTTATAGATGAGGATGAGAAACTGGTTGGGCGAGCCCTTCATCGGTCGGATGGGTGGGCCTGGGTCCTGTTGCGGGGACTTGCTATCACCCTGGACGGAGGCATCATTGGACTGGCGTGGGCGTTGGGCAAATACACCATCGATACCAAGCGTGAAATCAACAGCGTGTTGCGAAGAAGATGCTTCATGATGGGCTCCTTGGGGCAGGCTTGGTCGGCGTGGCAGATCATGGTCATCCTGGTCCTGGTGAGTTTGGCGAAAGCGTTTCTCATTTTCCCGGCGGACAAAGAGCTGCCAGGAGACAATCTTGTATGTTAGGTAGATGAAGAGAGTGGCTGCGGCAAAGAAGGAAATGCATGCCAGCACTGTGATGGCCAAAAGGCCGCTGCGAAGAGATGGCGTCAAAGGGCCAAGGGACTGCCCTTCAATCGGCAGCTCCCCTGACGGCATGGCTGAAGGAGAGGAAGAGGGTATGCCTTGAATCTGATGAGGAGAAACGATCAACGGAAAATGTGATTTTGTTCTAGTTGATGGAGTCGTCGTCGCATATCGATCAGGAGAAAATGAAAGATTCCCAGATTATGGAGCAATCGGAAAGCAGCCGGCTTCCAAAGTCCAGGATAGGTGGGAATCAGAGTCAGGAAGAGGGAGGGGGAAAGGAAGGCTCAGATGAAAGGCAAGCCTGCTGGCATGAGCGTTGTGAGAAACAGAGGGTGAAGGGAGGAGACAAAAGAAAACAGGAAAACAAGCCGCCTCGAGTCTTCACAAAGAAGAACAAGAGCGTTGTCCCTCTGCCGATGACGAGGAGACTAGAGGACGGCTTAAAGGAACGAGAGTAAGCGGGTGCCGGGGTTTAATAAGTTGAAAGCACCAGGCCGCACAAAGTACGAGGAGGGATGGAGCAGACGGGACAGGTTCAGTAGTCGTAGATAGGAAGGAAGGCAATGGCAATATGGAGCACACCGCAAACCCTAAATAGTATGTGGGTTCTCGGAGAAAAAAAGAATAGGCAGTGAGTGTATCAGTACCTGCTAGATGCCGGTGCTGGTGCTACAGTTGACGAGTACAATCTATTTCCCATTTACTGTAACGGACAAATGCGTGTCCCGTTGATGGCTTGCAAGCAGTATCCAGTGCTCAGTGCCCATGTTATTCCCAGCATCCAATGTGAGCCGTGGGTACGTGTAGCATGTCCCCGGGCTAAGCCTTGTGAAGCCTGGTGGTGAGCAAAGTCTTGAATCATGTAGCCTGCAAAAGCTAATCTGGCGCCTTCGGCTTGAAACAGCACGTATCCAGGGGTGCTTGGGACCCGTTTCCCGTGCATCCTGGTCGGCAACTTATCCTAGAGGGCGGAGAAGGGCATTCATTTGGTTCCAGAGAAATGGGTGTCGAGGCCGCAGCAGAACTCGACCGACCAGGCTCATACTACCGTCTGACAGCGGCCCAAACAGCACAAGTCGGTGCTTCCTTTCGCATTCTGCATCGTCCTAGCGGAGGGATCAAGCCAACGGAGCAACGCTTGGATCAACTGCTCCACTGCCTCGTCGCCAGAGTACGGAGTTACTACCAAGCCTGTATTATTGGGCTGGGGCCTCCCTTGTGAAAGGCTTCCCAAGCCACGGGTTGGCAGAGATTTTGCAAGATTGACAAGCAACCGGCTTCCCGCCACTTGCTCATAGTCTTGGGTGGCGTTGCTAAATGGCCCCTTGGCAGCCATCTTTGCCTCTTGTTAATGGCAATGTCGAGGACCGCCATCTTTAAGGCGTGTTCACGTTTTGCTAGGTGAGTCCCCGAACGTGTCGACACTTCAGACCTAGTTCTACACTGTTTGACAGTGGCCAAGCCCATTCTGGAAGACGCTGCAGACCCAAAGCAGCGTACAGACAGATTCGTCTTGGCAGGGGTCGTGATTGGCCTCTACGCGCAAGGATGGCTGGACGATTATGCATGAGACTCGATTCTGAGCCACTCGGCCTGCTGGGCCGGGAAGGCAATAAAAAGAAAAGAAATCTGCAGCATTCTCACGTGGCAGTTGGAGGGCGGCTATCGCCCGGGGGCCAGCCAGGCATGCCAGGCCAGAGGAGGATTTAGATTGCAGATTTTCTTGACCTTGTTTACCACGGCTACGCCGGTGATTACAAACGATTCCAGGCCTTTGATTCTCTCAGCTACAGCTCGTATTGTCGTTCTGTTGGCAGGACCGTGCAGCTGAATCTAATGTTGGTCACTGTTGTTGCTACTGTTGTCTGCACAATCGAGGCTCGGCCGCACCGCTTGTAATGCTAGCCGCAGTTTTGGTATACCGCAAATGTAACAAGAGGGCGATCAAGCAAGTAATTTGGCTTGCCCCTCTCTCTTCCCTTGTACTTTGTATGAGGATTGGTGCCAGAGTCGTTAGCAACTCAGCCACGCAGGCAAATCAAGCGTTTATCCGACGTCTCAAGATGGGCCAGCACAGAACACACAGACACACATGATGCGAGTGGCTTGATAGCAGCCGCGCCCGAGGGCAAACAACTGTTTAGCAGCATACGTTGGTGATGGCGCCAACGGAAAAAAGCCTGACGCCTTTCCGAAGAATCCGCATACTGTAGCACATGGCGATGAGGAGCAACAAGAGCCAGGGGTGCCCGGGTAAGCAACCGTGCGTTCGGCCTGCACCATAATCGCGAGTTGGCTGCGCTCTGCGTTCTGCAATAATATGTAGAAGCGGGATTCGACGAGAAGGGGGGTAAATTGAGGTGGCCAGGACACGGGCAATATTGAGGGCTGTGGTTATGGGTGCCTTGACAACAAAGGTACCGGAACGAGTATTGAAAAGACATTGAAACGTCGTCATCATCACAGAAAGGGCAAGTACCTTCCATACGGCTGAAAGAGATCCTTGAATGTTGATGACAATTCCGCGTTCTTCAGAATGCAGTTCGCATATCCGCAGGGCTCTTCTAACGTTGAACATGGCATGGAACCCTCGCTCAGCCGTTCTGCTTCCACCGTCCGCAACAGGGCCTGGGAGGGTTCGAAGATCCAAGCGTATAGTGACGTTTTCCTCGACCCTGGCGGCGCTTGATTGCGAGAGGCAACGGCTAATACATCATTATTAGGAAGCGAGCGGTTGAATCACAGTGTCGATTTTCTAGTCAATGAGGAGCCTCCCTTCCGGTCTCTTCGTTGGCTCCAGATCTGTCTGTACTAATAACGAACGGCAGAGGTGCTTCGTATATCGTATCACCACCTCCTCTATTCGGCCTAATTGAACAAAGCCATCCTGCTAGCCAGGCCGATGACTTCGAACGGTCTCTACTTGCACGATCAGGGGACCATTTGGTCCTATCATGGATCGGGACTCTCTGTAGATCTTCCAGTCCGTGCGCAAGTCGGCGCTGGAATGTCAAAATTAAACAGGCATCATCGTTAGCAGGTGTTTGAGGGCACAGAATGTGGCTTGCATTAAGGCAACTGGCCGTGGACTTGGTAGCGCCTCTAGTCTTTTGCTTGGCAGCTCTGAAAGGAAGCTCGGGCTAGCATTTTACGAGGCCAGCAATTTGCATCTTTGCTCTTTCTTCCTTTCTCTCTTCATCCTTCTCCATCAAGATGGAGCAACACAGGTTCAAAGGACCGAAATCCCCCATGATTGTGCGGCTGAATGTGGAGCTCAAAAACCGGCAACGGAGCAACACTCTTCTGTGACTGCCATCGTCCATCGACCTGCTGGGTACGGCGTAGCCCTGAGATTGGTACTATTCCTGGCCTGCGATTTGTGTCGAGGCTCCTAGCAGTACGACGCTCCTGTCGATGGCCAGTTGCATTGGCTCGTCAGGCTTCCGGGGGCATGCATATTCGAAATGCCCCTTATTTTTGCCAGACTCGCATTGATCAGCCGCAATGCAACGGTGCAGGGTTGCAGGGGAAGTCGTCCCCGCAATCCAGATCTAAGCTCGTCCAGGCAAAGCCGACTGCTTCGATGCAGCTGGCTGTGGAGCTTTGGATGAGCAAAAGACAAGCTCCAGATTGGGGGAGCCGAATGCCCTGCTGACCAGCATCCCTAGCACAGCTTGTCATGTCAGTACTTACCAGATAATGCTAATGCTAACGGTGTCAATGGCGCCAAGGGGGTCGATGGCATTCCAAAACAACAGGCTGCGGCTAATGTAACGCTTCTTGCAAACCTTATCCTCAACAAGTCGCCCAGTCTTGGCTAAGCAGCTCCGATACCCTGACAGAGAGAACCGGACAAGGGGCTAGTATCTGCCACCTGAATATCGATGAAGCAATTGGATAAAGGAATTGCCAGACTTCGGCCCTCCAGTGGCCGAGCCCGTCGGCGTGGCTTATGCCGACTGTAGAAATGGCCTGACCCCATGAGTTCAGCAGTACGACTACAGGCAACTTGGCTGCGTCTAAGCACTTGGGCAGTTTCTTGATACGACTTGGATGAGTTGCTGCAATGACGACTGACAGGATATATGCCAGGCGGACAATAAACCTCAGCTCGGCCACAAACTTTCTGCGTCTGGTGCAGCAACCTTTTGACTTTGTCGATAGCTTCGTCGATAGCCTTCAACAACAACCGAACCGGGGAACAGCATCTCGAAACCGATCCAAGGGCCTAGTTTGCGCAATCCAGAACCCCCGCGGTCCTCGACTTCATTAGGTGCTTTGCTTGCTTTATGCGATGCAGCCAACCAGGCCTCATGCAGTCAGCCACTGGCAATGGCCCGAAAGCCGGTGCATGATTGTTCATTATCGGCATCATCCCGACACCCATGACACGCAACTACTCGTACTACCTCATCTGTATACTACAAACGATGCAGATAACTAGTTTAGCCCAGAGACGCATTGACGTTATCCAGCAGCCGGCTAAAAGTCCACACGTGTTTTCCTTTCAAGCTGTCCGTAGTCGCAGCTTGGGCATACAGTAGCAAGTATCAAAGCCCTGCACCAGTGACAGTCTAGAATCGCTAGCATGATTTGCCAAATGCGACTACCGGCGGCCAAGATGCCGGTCTCTACATCGCCGAGTACCTACACCAGCCCGAATGCCCACTAGGTTTCGTGTGGTTACTGCAAATCGGTCTGGAGTCACGATATGGAGAGGGAGCGGCGTCTTGTCCGTCCACAACTGAGGCCAAATTCAGCTTTGCGCGTATCAGAGAGAATAGCTCGAGCATGTGTGTTCGCCCTGTCTGTGGGCAAATCTGTGGACAAAATGTAAACCATTCCGGTTCCAGCAAGCAATCATTTTGCGGGTTGTTGTTCCTCTGAAACAGAGACTCCAATGCCACTAACAGCACAAAAGGCTGGCCGCGTTTCTTAACCGAGGCGGTTGCGCAGATCGATTCATTTCTCGTGAACGATATATTACATACGACAAGCCGAAAGACCTGCGCTAACCCACCACCCACTCCCATGCCTGCATCCGAAATTATCGGCTCTTTGTGCCGCGACACAGCTATTCCAGAAGCGCAACAGCGTAAACAGATAGTAGGAGACACCAGGATAGCCGGCGTCTTTGTAGTGTATTCCTCCTATTCTCATTACAGGGACCAAGTACGCGTCACTATTTCCTCTAGTATAGCCTCATGAAATAGTAGGCCTAGGAGCCGTTTCAAACTCCTACCCTAAAATGAATTTGAATTTCGAAATTACGGTCTTGCAGGCGTATGCGCTCATATTATGTTCTATTCACAAAATTAAAATTTACTTCTGTCATATTTTCTCATATCTTGCCAGATTGTAGTGCCTTCGTTTCCACTTTCTCGGGTCGGCAGGCCTAGGTTTGCTATACAACGAAGCATTCCAAGCTAGCTTCAGGATTACCTTCAATAGGTAGATCTCTTAAGTAATGATAAATTGGCTATTGCCCGTAGACTACCTCGCTACGAGTAAAGATTAATATCAAAGACCGTTTCACCCGCACCTAGTAAGCCAACGTTATTCTAGAAGGCTTTGTGTTAAACTACCTATGAATCTTGCAACGTAGAAGGGGCGACAAGGAGTGCCATATTTGGCGCAGCGCAGCGTACTAAATGAGAGCTCGTTTTGATGTATTAACCCATCCTCGGGAGACCCGGTAATTTATGAAACTCGTGGCAAAAAGAAGACTAAAGAATTATAGAAGCGTCTTTGTAAATAGAAGCCGAAGAAGCAGGTTGATATTCTCTAAGTCGCTGTTCAGGGCCCGATTAATATGGAGTACAAGCCTCGATGACTGATTGTGGGGTTGTCGCCGGTTGACTCAGATCCGGTATGATTCCAACCTTGTTATGGAGGGGCAACTCCAACTTTTTTTCATGCTTGCATTCTCGTGTTGCTCGAGATAAATAATCCCACAAACTTTCCTTTGCGTCTCTTCCCTGTTCGCCTTTCAGAAACAACGTCTTGATATACGGTCAAACATACCAACGAACACAGCGGCATTCGCACAATGGCGCAAAACCAGGCGGACGAGCTCTTGCGACGGCCGTTATATGGTAAGTACAAATATCCAGTCGCATCACTGGTTTAGTCATTACCCCACCAACTTGATAGATCATGCTCGAGGCATGAGACGCGCTTCTTGTCCTTTCATCCGGCCTCATCTTTGGAACCAACTAACTCCTTGAGCTCGTGTTAGTTTACGATCTTCCGCCGGAAAGCCTCGTGGGCTTGACGCTGAAGCCGGACGCAGACGCCATCGCCATCGCCGAAACTGAAACCACCACAACACCCCCAAGCCAGACCTCAGACGCGTCTTCCGATAGCTTTGTCGGCTCTCAAGCGTGTTCTCTCTGCAAGCTCTCATTTCCTACCGTAATAGACCAACGAAGCCATATAAAATCCGATTTTCACAACTACAACCTTAAGCAGAAGCTGCGGGGACAGAGCCTCGTCTCGGAAGCCGAATTTGAAAAGCTGATAGAGACTTTGGACGAGTCACTATCTGGATCCGACTCGGACGACTCGGAA